AGCTATGGGTATCTTCTGCAGTCTGTTGTTAGCTCACCTAGCTGTGCTGCTTTTGCCCCAGGGCCTTCCCGCCTTGCGATTGCCAGTCGGGACCTCTCCACTAGTGCTGTGCAGAGGCTTTCGCTGAGGCTGCTGTAGGAACCTGGAGTTCCCCCCTGGGGTATGTAGCCGTTTCACCAGAGCTCTACTCTGCCCCACTCTACTCTCACGGGATCTCCGGGAGCCCCTTGCCTCATCTGGGACATGGCCAGAGTCCGTGGGCCTGGCGGTGGCTTGTAAGCTCCTGCCTTGTGGGGAATTCTGCTCTAGGGAGCTTCCTGGTGTTCCGAATGCTGGGTGGGGCCTCCCTGCCAATGGTGAGCAGAGGCCCTCCCTGCTGGGGGGTGTGAGACCCTGGAGCGACCCCCCTGGGCCGCAGAGCTGGGTGTTGGAGCTCCACCCAGTCCCCAAGCGCGTCCATGGGAAGTCTGGGCACCCCCTGCACTGACCTGTGCGCCAGAGACCGTGAGCCCAGCAGCAGCTTATGGTCTGGTGCCATGCCAGGGAATCCGCCCACTGGGAGCTTCCCTTTGTCCTGGATTCTGGGCGTGGCCTCCCTACTAATGGCAAGCAGAGACTTTCCCTGCTGGGGAGGTGCGGGACTCCGGAGCCTTCCCCCGCACCGCAGAGCCAGGCGCTGGAGCTCCAACCATGTCCCCAAACACGTCTACAGGAAGTCCGGGCACCCCCTGCACCGAGCCGTGTGCCGAAGACCGTGAGCCCAGCGGCAGCTTGTGGTCTCATGCCATGCCAGGCCCACCAGGAGCTTCTCTTTGCTCTGGCTTCTGGGAAGGGCCTCCCTGCTAATGGCGAGCGGAGGCCTTCCCTGCTGGTGGTTGCGGGACCCTGGGGATTCCCCCTGGGCTTAGGTGTAATCGCGGGGGGCTTGGTTTGTCACCTGTTTCCACTGTTGCTCCGCTGGTGAGTGCACACTCCTGCCCTTGGTGTATGGCAGTGCTATGAGGGAGTCTGCTGGAAGAGAGCCTCCTGCAGGAACTAGGCTGTCTGGGGGTCAGGGGTCGGGGGTTGGAGAGTTTTCACCTATTTCCACCTCCTCCCAGGGGGAAGTCTGTCCGCCTTCCGATGTGTAGTAGCACGAGACTTTTAGGCATCTTGAGATGCTATCTGGATATCCTTTGTTAATCGGTGAATGTCCAATTAGTTGTAGATTCGACGGGGGAGAGACAAAGAAGATCTGAATTCAACTTTTAAGTAGTAATTCATGCATGTGGTGCTAAATTCTGATGATGCAAAAGCCAGTACAGAGAAAAAGCATCCCCCTCGCATCCCTGAGCCCTGCGTGGAAGGGTCCAGCCAAGGCTTCCCGCAAGTGCCGTGTGCACTCCAGGGCTTGGTTTGTTTTACTGTATCTGAAAATGCAGTGCTGAGGCGCTGGGCCTCAGGACAGCAGAAAGCTGCTGACCTCATTCTCATTATCCGAAGGGACTGGGGTTGCTCTCTGCCTCCCCTTAAGCCAGCAAAGGCGATTGCCATTCCTGGGCATCATCATTCCGTCCCTTTGCGTTACAGTGAGGAACCTAACGAAGCCGCCTTTAGCGACACGTAGTGGGTTACTGCAGTGTCAAGGAGCCATCTCGGATCTCCTCGCCCCTGGTCTGGGCCTTTTACTGCCACACCAGGCTGGCTCCTTGCAGTAGAATTAACATCATTAAAAAAAAAAAAATTACAAGTGCCCCTGTGGAAAGCAGAGCATTAATATCGAAATTACAAATGTTTATGCTCTGTGACCCAACATTTCCACTTCAAAGCATTCAATTCTTCCTACAGATGTACCACACACAGGACACGCAAAGAACCACATACAAAGAACAAGTGCAAACTTGTTCTTTGCAGCACCGATTATAATAGTGAAATACTGAAAGCAGCTCAAATGCGTATGGGTCGGATGCTAGTTAAATAAATTATGGGCCATCCATTCAATGGAATACTATGTAGCTATGAAAAAGAATGGTCCAGGTCTCCACATGCAAATGGAAAGCTCTCCAACATCTCCCAAGATATATTACTTTATGGAAAGACTCAAAGTATAGAACCCATCGATACGCTCCCACTTGTATAAATAAAAGAAAATTATAGCAAATTTTCTTCTCAATGCTTACAACATCTCGGAAAGATCTTACAGCAACTGCCAACTAAGGATGCATCAAAGTGGCTGGGGGGCAGAACTTTTTAAAATCGTGAACCATGTGGATGCATTATGTGTTCAAAATATAAAACAAAATTTAAAATCACAAGCATCCCTTACTTTTTTAACTTGAAGGAAAAAAACAAAAAGAACACCAGCAAGTTAGTAGAGGTTAGTCCAGCTCTTCTAGAGCTGATCTTGATGGTAACCACACACGGACGAGGTCACGGGGTCCTGGTTTTTGGTGACCCATTGTTGGGGTCACATAAGAGACAAAGATGTACCATTCTCCATTTTCCCCCCTTTTTATATCAGTTCATCTTGGCTCCTGAATTCCTAGGTCCAATATGGAAGGTTCCAAGGTTTTGTTATTTCTAATCAATGGCCCTTTCCCAAGCACCACACCTTGGCAGCCACGGCAGGATCATATCTAACCCAGGGCCACATAAAGAGGGTCCGTTTCCTCCACTAGGACCAACTTTGAGGAGCACTGACATCAGGGCTGGAGTCTTCCCTGGCAGTTTCAGGAGAGAAGCTTATAGCTCTATACACGAGGCAGCGCAGGCTGCCAGGCCCCACTGTGGCCTCCCATCGTTCTCAGCCCAGACCCACTCATTCAGGTCAGCCCCAGTTTTGGAGGGGCTGCCTGAGGCAGTCAGTTCCAAACAGTATGCCTGTCTGTGGCCTCACCACAGCTGTATGGACCACATCTGTAAGTGTTCTGGGGGCAAGCGCAGGTGCTGGGCCTCTGCCCTCTCGGTTGGCACTGTCAGGTGCGGTCCTGGGCTCAGCAGTCAGTCTGGATTCAAAGTGCTCGCAGCAGCTGGGAAAGACAGCACCGACAGTTCCCTCAGGAAGAGGGGAAGCTTCCCGGAACAGCTCTGAGGGGCAAAGATCGTCAGTGCCCTCCTTCCCTCAGGGCTGGGGTTCTGCTTTCTCTCCATCATCATAAACTCAGTGTGTCCCATTCAGTAATCATCACTTTACACTTTTCTGTCATCCCGTCTTCTCCCCCAGACCTTTCATCCAAAAGGGTTGTACGCACAGGGACAAAAGTATTTTCATATGATTTAACCACAATGACACATCAAACTCAGGAATCGGTGAGGACGAAATCCTGACTTTTCAAACTTTTTTGAAATGGATTTACATAATCTCTCACCATTTGTCCTGACCATTTGTGCATTGAGCAGCCCAGAAAATATCAACCGCTTTCTAGGGACGGCTGCATTTAATAATTAAATGGCCCTCCTGTGGTGTGTGTACCAGGAGAAAGGTGAGGGAAACAGAGGCAGGCTGTCGGTCCATAGCTGCAAACTGCGGCTGATCTGGAAAACCGAACACAGGTCAACAGCATCCTACCCAGACATCCCCCAGGGGTCCTGATGTGTCAGGAGCATGTGGAGTCCCTGTGATGTGCCCTCCCCAACCGGCAGTTCTTGGCAGAAATCATGAGCTAGGAACACGATGAGCCTCGGCCTCAGAAATACAGAGCTCATCAGCAGCTGGACTTCACGCGGTCCCATCGGAGAACGAGCTCTTTCCTGCCGGCATCTGCATGTGACCCAGGGGTCCAGCCAGCATCTGTGATGTTTTCATAGTTTAGGGGCCCCGCAGAGGGGTGTCCGAAATCTTGCGGCAGTCCAGGGTTGAAGTCCTGGCCACTGAGCCTGGGCTGCTTTCGTGCAGCGCAGCTTGGGCGGAGGCTCAGACAGCCCAGCGCACCTGACAGTGTGTGGGCAGTTAGCTCTGTGGATTCAGGATTAAAAAGATAATAATGAAGCCAGCGGCAGCTGAGATACTGCAAGACCAGACAGCTGTTTAGTGTCTGAAGTCCAAGTGATAAGCAGGTGCTTTTGAGCTCCTCTGTCTTGTCATTTTGAGAGCCCCAGTGGACCCATTCATAAATACGCACACAGGCTGGAAAATCATCCGCTTCTGAGGCTGATGCCCTCACAAGAGCTCATTAGTAACTAACGCTAGTTTGGTTTAAACGCAACTTTGCTTTTTAAAATTCTAAAACTGATCTCCACCTGGAGATTGCCTCTCTTTTCCTGGTGTCTTCCTTTTTCCACAGACTCCACTAGGCAAAAGTCATAGTGAAAATCATCAGTGATAGAGACTTGTTTTGTTTTTAATACTCAGAATTTAAATTCCAACTCGCCCACTGGTGGCACAAAACAAGGAGTCTGTGCCCCACCAACACCTCCTCTTGCAGCCCTCCCTCCCCGACCCGGATGGTCCCCTAGCATTTATCAAATTACAAGCACTCGGCATTTTCTATGCATTTTTACCCCCATCTGGGTGCAGTAGTCACAGAATACAAAGGTATCTTAAAAATGACAGCTCCTGTGCGGCTTCCTGAAGGCCCAGGACCCCTCCGGCCTCCCAGACCTGCCACAAGGGATGCACTGGTCTCCCTGCAGTGTCCCAGAGAGGTGGGGGGGGGGGGGGACATGCTAGTCCTACACATGGATTATGTGCCCTGTATTCGTTTCCTAGGGTGTCCATAACAAATGACCACAAACTGGATGGCTAAATAAACAGAAACGCACTCTCTCACCGTTCTGGAGGCTGGAAGTCCACAATCAAGATGTCAGCAGGGCCAGGTCCTTCCAGCCCGCATCCCTCCGGCTCCAGGGGAGAACCCTGCCTTGCCTCCTCCAGTTCCTGGAGGCTCCAGGTGTTCCTGGGCTTGTGGCTGCATCCCTGAAATCTCTGCCTCTGTCTCCACAGGGCTCCCCCTCTTCTCTCTGTGTGTCTCTTGTAAGGACATTTGTCATTGGATTTAGGGACTAGCCTGATAATCCAGGATGATCTCATCTCGAGATCCTTAATTACATCCACAAAGACCCTATTTCCAAATAAGGTCACATTCACAGATTCTGGGTAGACATATCTTTTGGAGGACCACCATTCAACCCGCTACATGCAAGATCTGCCTGACACTAGAGACAGCCAGCATTTGCTGAGTGCCTACTGTGTGCCAAGCACTCAATGCGCACATCAGCCCATGAGGGAGGGACTGCGCTGATCATTCTCAGAAGGCGAGGACGCAACTGAAGGAGCTTGCCGAAGGCCCTACCACCTGGCGAGGAATGATGGAACCAGGACTCAGACCCAGAGTGACTGTGTTAGGGTTTGGACTTCTGAACCACTCCTCCCTGCTTCCTGCCACAAAGCCTGGGCCCTTATCCCTGGGCCCTGCTGGGCAGGCCGGCTGCCCAGGGCACCAGTCTGCCCCATCCCTGAGGAAGCAGGAATGAGTCAGAAAGTGGGTGGGACTGTTAAATCCCTCTCCTTAGTTGGCCCTGGCTCCCACAGCAGGAGCTTTACCATTGGTAAAATACTCAAGTCCTTCCAGACAGTGTAGCTCCTGACCCCACCTAGTTGTGGGCCTGGGAAGGGCAGCTGCTTGTGCTGGTAGGTCTGTCTGCCAGAGGAGCCTCCCCAGCCTAGAGGGAGCAGGCCCTGAGGAGCATCTCAGAGGGAAGGTGGCGCGCTGGGAGCTTGTCTCCCGGGAGCACACCTGGCAGACCCCTCTCCCACGGCCACTCAGGCATGAGCATGTCATGCTGTTTCCAAACAGATCATCAGCCCAGTTCCCAAGGCAGTGCTGTCGCGTGGGTGTGATCACCCCCCTATTTGCAGTCAGGGTTTTCATTGCTGGCTTCCACACTCTGCAGAATGGATTTCACCTGTTGGATGAGCCCCACCCATCTCACTTCATCTCACCTCACAGGTCACCCTGGAGCTTTAATCCAGTGGTTCTCAAAGTGTGGGCCCTGGGCCAGCAGCATCAGCAGCATCAGGAAACCTGCACTCCAGACCTACCGAATCAGAGACTCTGGGGTTGGGCCCAGCAGTCAGGGTGATTCTGATGTCCTTCTAACGTGGGGCTCTGCCTGGTTCACAGTAACCGCTCTGAGCCAGCGGTTCTCAAACTCAGCTGCACGCTGGAATCACCTGAGGGCTCTAAAAATACAGATGCTCAGGCCACACCCAGACCAGCTGAATCAGACTCTCGGGGGATGGACATCAGCAGCTTCCACAGCTCCTGGGTGATGCCCGTGTGCAGCCAGGACAGACGCCCATGCTCTAGGCCTCACTGTTACTTCTGTAAGATGATAACAGCTGAGCTACCCCAAGGCATCTTATCAGGATCATTTCCCTTCTGTGACCACGAGCTTGAACCCTGGATAAAGGGGAGAGGGTTGGTTCTCAAGCTCGGACAGCATAAACAAATTTTATTATAACAGCAGCAAGAGATATGTGCATTAAAGAAAAGGGAGCTCCTTCGTGCCTCCTCCTCTATTTGGGTGAAAGGGCATAACCTGCCACTTTCCACTCCGGCTTTCTCTTCGGTGGGGGTGGCGGTGGGGAACTCCACCTCAGGATGGGGTCTGATTTGCAGCCGGTCAGTCGGGGCTGACCCCCCGGGTCTGAGGCCTTGTCTGCCCCCGCCCTGGCTTGCCCACGCCTCTCTGTTTCTCTGGCAGCTCTGTGTGGTTTCTGTATTGCTTCTGGAGACCACCCTGTTCATGGCTCTGTTCTGCAGGATGGGGACTGGCAGAGAAGGGGGGTGCCTGACCGCTACTCACGGAAGTGCCTTGACGTCCATGTGTCTCAGCTCATCCCCACGTGACCCCACAAGGTAGGTACACGCACCCCCCTCTTACAGGTGAGGAAACTGAGTCTCGGAGATGCCCACAGCCTTGGAGAGGGGGAGCAGGGATGCAAACCCAGCTCTGCCCTACTCCACCTCACTGCACCACCAGATTTTGAAGCCAGAAAGACACGATCAGGAAATAAACATTCTCTTTTCTTTTGTTTTCCACATGCTGTTGCTGAAGGTTCTCCACGCTGACTTTCTGAAAAAAGAGAATGCTATTTCTCACTACACGTTGGCGTTCCAGACATCAAACGCGTGGTCCAACGAGGACAGGTGTGTTATCTGTGGCTGGTGCTCAGCCGGGTGCTGCAGTCCGGGGACAGCCTGCACCTGCAGCTCGGCACAGGCAAAGCCTGGGGCCCTGCCCACCAGGCTTGGGGCGGGACTATGTGGGTTGTGAGCCTGAGGGGTCCCTTCTAGAGCAGTCCGAGCCAGGAGTGACTTCGCCTCCCAGATCCTCAGTTTCCCTATCTGTAATGTGGGGATAATATGGGGTGCAGTGAGGATGGAATGGGAGGCTGACTTGGGGCCTGGCTGGTGGTGAGTTCTCCAACCTCCGATGCTCCAGTTCCTTGGCCAGGAGTGGGGCAGGGTCGGGGGTAGCTGGGGAGTTGGCAGAGCAGAGAGAGCAGAGACTCAGCAGGGCAGCTGCTTTAGAGGGGTCTGGGACATTTCTAGAGATGAATCATAGGGCTGAGGTTTGCTGACACCATAGCTGTGTGGGCTGGAGGCAAGCCAGTAATAGTGATTGTAAACACCACACTTTGGATGCAAAGATAATAGGAAACGGCTCACCCGCTGGTGATGGGTAAAGCTGTGTGCACAAGCACAATCGGGGGAACTGACAGGAAATCTGCGAGATCTGTGACGGAGTGAGATGATGGGGCCGAGTGTCTTGCTTGTTTAATGTAGTTCGTAAGCTTTAAAAATAGGTCAAATCAATCAACTTTACAGGAGGACATACGCTACCGCTTCCCAAGGGAGAGCACCTCGCCCTCCTTCTCCGAGGGAGGAACAGGCGTAGGACCTCCTCGACTGTGCTGGTGGAGATTACGATGGGAACACTGCCTTCAGCCAAGATGAAATAAGCACCTACTCTGTGCTGTGCTGCGGGCCACCTGCTCCACCCGGTGGACTAGGACCTCACTGTCCCCAACTTCAGTGACTGTATCGTGCCCTGGGTACATGCGCATTCCTCTCACAAACATTTGCTGAACATCTACGTATATGACCCTGCATCACTCAGCAAATATTCGTAGAGTACCTATTATGTGCCAGGAACCATCCCAGGCTCTGGGAATCCAGCGGAAAGCAGTCCCTGGCCTCCTAGAGCTGCTCGTTCTAGTAGAGGGAGAAAAACAGTGAGCCAACAAGAGGAGGAGATGATAGGCAGGGGCACCAGCACTGAAGGAAGCAAAACAAGAGAGCCCTCCGGCCAGGCAGACAACAGCGTCTGGAGGGGCCGGTGCCCCTGGGGTCAGCAGGGCTGCCCTGGGAGGAGGCCTCCCCGCTGAGACCCATACCCCATGCAGGAACCACCAGGTGAGGACCTGAGAGCAGGAGGCCAGGGGCACAGCAAGTGCAAGGGTCCCCAAATAGGCAACATCCGCCACCGGTATTGTCACCAGCCGGCTCTCTGGGGACCAGAGACTGGTCACTGCAGGGAGGTGGGAGGAGGGTGGGCAGGCTGGAGAAGCTGTGAGGAGGGCCATGTGCAGGCCACGGAAAGGGGCTGGATTTGGTTCCAGGAGCAATGGGAGTCCCCGGAGGTCTTGACACAACCTGGTCGACGTTTGTGAAGAAGGTCCTCTGACGGCCGGCGAGGTTGGCGGTGGAGTCCGCCTCTTCCCGTGAGAGAAGCCAAGGTGGAGCCGGCTGCCCTGCAGTAAGCGAGCTTCTCGGTCCCAGGCAGAGCCCAGCGAGGGCTGAGCAGCAGTGACACACAGCAGATGGGGGCGGGGACGGGGCAGAGACACCCGCGGAGCGTTCACACGCGGAGGCAAGACGGAGGCCTGGGCTCCCCGGGGTGATGTGGAAGGCCTGGAGAGCAGGAGGCGGGAGCGTCCTCCCCGCTGGACCTGCCGAGGGCACAGGGAGGCCTGGGGGCCCTGGGGGCGAGGGCACGGGGTGGGGGAGGGGCTGCACGCAGGGCCCCAGGAGCCGGAGGCCTAGCGAGGAGCCTTGAAGGAGGAGGGGCTGAGGGCTGCTGCACGGAGTGGGCAGCAGGTACGCCCGAAGCAGGCTGACCCCGAAGCAGGGGGGCTAAGGTCAAGACTCTGTGCCCCTCGGGTGTTTCCAGGGCCAATCCAAGCATCTCCAACAACACCATGGTGGTGCTGCACCCGAGGTCATCCACAAAACATGGTCACTGGTGGAAAACCATTCCCCATGAGTCTGACGTGGAGGGCAGGGCGGGCTAGGCTGGTGCTGAGCGGCGGCTGCCTTCTGGCAGGCTCCTTGCCTAATCTGAGGGGCCTTTTCCTGGCCTCGCTGAGCATTCCCATGATGCCTTCAGTACCTGAGCCCCAGACCAGCGGACTATCTGCTTTCAGGGGGAGGCCACCGCCTAGTGCCCCCGACCCACACCTTTCCTTCCTGTCCAAAAAGTCTGGACATCTCAGGGATGTTACAGGACTTTCCGTCAGTTACAGTGCTGGAAACCAGCCCACAGCAGAGGGCAGCCTGCCGGAGGCGCACAGCAGCACTGCCTGTGCTCAAACCTCCTAATTTCACCTCTTCCCCTTTTAATTTCAAAAGGGACAGTGTTCCCTGGAGGAAATGAGCAAGAAGTAAATAAAAATTACCCAGCATCCCACCAATGAACAGTTGTCAATCCTTCCTCCCAGGCTTTTTTCTATGACTATTTTATATTTAAATACAAAAATGGGGGTGTTTTGCCTCTCCCTTCGTTCACTTTACAAGATATTGTGAGGGTTCCCCGTTTGGTCGGTGGTCCCCGTGGGAGAGATTTTCACGACGGGCTCATGGTGGCTGACTGGCCCCTCCCCTCTTGGGGACCTTAGGTTTTTACAGCCATCCACAGTCTTCCCAGTGTTGTAATGAACCATCTCCCAGCCAGATCTTTGGACTAGCCTGTGAATATTTCCTTAGGATAAATCGCCAGAAGTTTAACTGTGAGGTTAATTCCATGATTTTAAAGTGGCAGTGTGAAACAGCAGAGAGTTAGCCGCTGATGATTAAGTAGCTAGGAACCAAAAGTTTTTTTCCTTTTTGCAGTTACTGATTATAGCTTTTAGCTGTTTAACCCACCCATTGTTAACTGGCTGCTTAGGCAAAATGCCCTCTCACTCCCGCTAGGCGCCTATAGACAACATCTCCCCGGAGCCTGGGTCACCACAGTAATGGGTGTTTGATCTGTTTTTCATGATCTAGAACCTCTTGTCCACTTCAGGCCCGTTGAAACCACCAACTCATCAATTGAGCCCGCGCAGATGTCTGATAGGCGACCTTTTGACGTCAAGAGGCTAAAACCTCCACCCTCAGATCGTGCTAGCGCCGCCATTTTGTGAGCATGGGTCCCATGACGAGGCGTGGAGTCGGACTACTTGCGCAGATCGTCAATTACCTCACCTCCAATCACCTCTCTCCACGTTTCAGACCACCTTGCCCCTACCCCATAAATATCCCTGAGTGCCTATTTTCGAGGAAGCGGGTTTGAGGCTCATGCTCTCGCTTCGTCGCATGGCTGCCTTGTGAGTAAACCCTGTGTCTGCTGCAATCTCGTCATCTCGGTGTTGACTTTCTGGGCGGTGGGCAAAAACGAACCTGGTTCGGCAACAATTGCGTCGGATTACTTTAGAAGCAGAATCTGCAGCTGGAAATGAGAGAATTGGGCCAACTGCTGGCCTGTGGGTTCTTCCTCCCTCTCCTTCCTGTCCAGATCCCAGACTCCCAGCCCTGATTTTGCAGCATTTGAGTGTTTTTTGGGTGTCATGAAAATCTCTCCAGGAAAAGGCCTTTGAATTCATTTTCCTTACATCTGGTTTTTGTGCTAAGCCTGGTGGGAAGGTTGGCTTCATGGTTACACCCCTGTGGCAGAAATAGGGTGGAGGAGGGAGCTGCATTTCTTCATTCAATCAAGTATTATTTTAAAGTTTTTTATTGGTGTCTAACACAAATAAAGGATGCAAATCTTAAGTGTACACACAGTGAAGTTTTACATATAAATATACCCATGGAACCACCATGCAGGTCAAGGTTTACAACGTTTCCCACTCTCTGGAAGGTTCCCCTGCATGCCTTTGTAAGAAACAACCATCAGAGGCCTACTGGGTGCCGGGCACCGTGCTGGGGACACACCCGGGAAGGTGAAATTATGGTCTGCTCTCTGGGCGCGAGCTCTGGTGACTGAGTCTTAGGGAGTGGGTATTGTCACAGTTGTCCTGCTGGTGCCCAGGACATGCCCTCTGAGGGGCTCCACCTCCTTCCTCTTCCCGCATGCAACAGGGTTGTGGGGAGTTAGAGGGGTGGATTCTGGAGTTGTGTCAAGAGAGTTCTGTCTTCACTTCACCTCCTGTGGCTCCTCTCTGAGCCTCAGTTTCCCAACCAGCAAAATAATGATAGTAAAGTGTGTTAGCTCATTTAATTATCATACAGTCCTACATGGGGGAGGGGCACTGTTATCATTCCAAATGTCTAAATAAGGAAACTGAGGCACAGAAGAGGTTAGGTAATGAGCCAAGGTCCTATAGCCAGTAAGAGGCAGAGCTGGGATTTGAGCTGAGAGCCCACTGCTCCTAGAAGATATCTTATAATAACCAGCATCTACAGGATTTGGGAGGATCCTGGGTCACAAACAGAAGTGTTTTGCGACAATGACAAGAATTACTAGTGCCATTGTGGCTGCAGCAACATCTGTCTATCCTAATTATTTATCCAGCCATTATCTAGCCTAAAAGGCTGGATGAAAGCCGGGGGCACCCTGGGATCGATGCCCCGCTGGGGCTCAGGCTGCTTGTATTCCAACAACAGAGAAAGGGGTTTTTTTGCTGCAAAAGATGGCTGACATTTAGCTCGTCCCCTGAGGTGCTGGGTCAGCCAGGCACCTTACATTTGCATTATTTATGGGATTGTCTCAACAGCCGGGAAGGTGGCCTCATCTCCAGGCTGTAGTAAACGGAGTAAAGCTCAGAGAGGTGACGACACTCGTGTAGCTTCCAACCAAGTCTGTCTAGGGCCATTGGCGGGACTTGCCAAAGCCTCTTGCTTTGCGTGGCTGCCTTTCCATCTCATGCATCTGCCCACCCCGGGCCGTCCTGACCGTTCAGAGCCCCGACCACTCCTGGTCTCTGAAAGACGCGGCCTGGTTCCAGACGGAGTGATTTGTTAGGATCGATGAATCCTTCTGGGAGGCATTCTAGGACTCAGGGTGTGGCAAAGGAGGATGTGTCCAGCATGTCTTGTGTCTTTGCTTAGGTCAGGGTGGCTGTGAGCAGCCCCTCAATATCATCGTGGGAAAGTACCACCTGGAGGTGAAAAGTGTGGACAAACACATCTTTAAACCTGAAGCACACATTTTGTACATTCTCTTCACCCCACGGTGTGAACATAATGAGAAACTCAGGTCGGCTGGGGGAGTGTGTCCGCGGAGACCCACGCGAGGAAGCGAGAAGCAGCACCTACTATGCGCCACGCGTAGTCTATGAACTTCACTTGCTCTCGAGGTTCTTGCAAACTAGGTGAAGGGACCCGTCCCAGGAACAGATAATGGACACTCTGGAGCATCCTCTTTGTGGCTGAGCTCCTTGGCCATTTCCCTTCTCCTCCTCCCCTGGCCTGACCCCACCCCAGCTGCCTTTTGCCTCCACCACTGTACAAAGGCTGCCCTTGTGTGGGGGGCACCAACAACTTCTTACTCACCACCTCCGGGGACAGGGCCTGAATCATGACTGATGTTCCCCTCCTTCTGAAAATTCTCTGCTCTTTTAGGTCTCTTCTCCCATCTTTCGTCGGCCCAACTTATTCCTCCCTGTGGCTACGCTCAAGGGCGTTTCCCCCATCACCAGCACCGGCCTCTCCCGAGGGTGCTGGACATCTGTTGTCTCTTGTTGACACCAACCCTTTCCCACACCTGCCTTCCTGAGGTTAAAAACCTGTCAGGTGTACAAGCTAGAAACAAGGGGGCTCTTTTTTTAAAGTTTTGTGTTTGGAAATAATTTTAAACTCATTAAAGTGGGCAAAAATGGTATAAAGATTACCCATATACCCTTTATCTAGATTCACCTGTTGTTAACATTTTGGCCTATTTGCTTCATCTCTCTCTTTACACACACACACACACACACTTTAATTTTGAACCATTTGAGAATAAGTTGCATACATTATAAGTCTTTGCCCCTAAACACTTTAGTGTGTATTCCCTCAGAATAGCATGTTCTCTTATACAACCACAGTATGGTGATCAACTTCAGGAAATTCAGTGTTGACATGACACTTGTATCTAATGAAATTATCGGTATTCCAGGTTGGTCAGTTGACCCAATCTTGTTCTTTATAACATTTTTTTCCTCCAGTCCAGGGCCATGTGTTGCATTCAGTTGTCATGTCTCTTTAGCTCCTTTAAGCTGGGACTGTTCCTCAGCCTTTTTCAGTCTTTTTTGACATTGACATTTTTGAGGAATGGAGCTCCCCCTTCATTTTTAATAGAACATTCCTCATTTTTGAGTTTGACAATTTAGTATCTTTATATTGTTATGCATCCCTGGCTGGAATATTACATAAGTAATGCTGTGTCCTTCTCAGACATCACATCTGGAGGCACATGCTGTCCACCTGCCCCTCATGGAGATGTTAAATTCAATTATGTGGTTAAGGTGTCCAATTTTTCTGCTCTGTAATTACAATTTTTTCCTTTGTAACTAGTAAGTGGTCTGTGTGGAGACACTTTAAGACCATGCAAGTATCCTGCTTCTCATCAAAATTCCCCACGCCTAGATTTAGCATCCTGCCTGAACCCACCTTCTCTGTGATGTTGCACAGTGACTTTCCAGCTCCAGCTCTCCCTCCACCTTACCTGCTGGCCTCCAGTATTCTCCTGGAAGCTGAGCCCTCCTTTCACCCCCATCTATCTATCATCTGTCTGTGTGTGTATCTATGTATCTATCTATCATCTATCAATCAATTTATCATCTGTATGGACTCACGGATCTCATTTTTTCCCCAATAGTTTAAGATTCATTCCTGTTCTTAATTATGTTTGTGCTCAAATTGCCCCAAATTTGCCCAGTGGAAGTCCCTTATGGCTGCCTTAGGATGTTCTTTTTGATGCCTTCTTAACCCTTGCCTCCCACTTCCTGCCCCTAACGCCCACTGTTCCAAACTCCTCATGAAGACCTCATGGACGCCTAGTCCAGGAAGCCTCCTGTGTCCCAGGGGGTGAACGATGACCCTGTGTGTGTGCTCTCTTGCTTCAGAGGACACAGTCTTCGTGTCCTCCTCTTGAAGGAGCTCATTTTGCTCCTTCATGTCCTGATGAGGTGGAGCAAAATGAGCACATCCTGCACAACATGGCTACCGTTACATAGGTTTCACTCACTCTGTCAAAGAAAAACCCTGGAACTTCGGTCAGGTAATGAATTTGCCATCCTGTGGCTGGACCAGGCCCTACTTGATGGACCCCCTTTTTAGTTAGGTATTAGCCAGTAAAGGTTCTGGAGAAAGCTTTGTGAGCCTCAGGTCAAACGCCAGCCTCATGCATGTGAAACTTGCCCAGAGAGGGGGTGACCTCCCAGACTGCAGACGGATGGTGGAGTCAGCACTGGAAGCCCTTTCTCCAGGGCCCCGCCCAGGGCCTTTCCCGTTGTCCTCTGCTTTCTGCCACCCCCTGCCTCCCAGGGTATTTATCAAAGAACCAACCACTTAACAATTATTTACCAGGAAGCCTCATGACAATTGGAATGTTGATGTAGATAAAAAGCTTTTAAAACTTGAGTGAGACTTTTTAGAAGACTTTAGTCTGGAGGCTTCTGGGCAGATTTGCTTGTCTGGACTTGGGTTATTCCACTGGGTAGTTGTGAAGTGCAAATTAGACGGTATGTGTTAAGTTTCTGACACAGAGTGGAAGGATGACCATCTCTGTGCAGCCATGAGACCGAGCAACAATGTGGAAAGAGGCAGGGCTCCACGGCTCTAAAGGCACAAGTCCAGGGGTGAGGATTCATGGCACCAGCAACTTCCAACCTTCCCTCTCACTAGATTTTGCAACAAAAAACTTCTGGAAAATGCCATGCTCTACAGAACTGCTTGGCTTCCCCTCCTTTCATTGGGTCTGGACACCGAGGATAGGATGGAAGTGGCGACAACAGAAGAGGGACTCCCATGAGTGAGGGCTGCTGTGTGCACTCTGCAAGGCGCTGCACATACATCCTCTTGTTTTGCCCTCTCTTCATTCCTGGAGGGCTGACCAAGCATTACCACTTGCAGAGGAAGAGGCAGAGGGGAACAAAATGGGAGGGAGTGGTTGGCAGGGGAGGCGGGGGCGCGGGGGTCAACAGAGGAAGGAAATAGCCAAAATGAAGACCACAGGAGGGGTGGAGAAGAAGGAATCACCTGAATCCTAGGTAGTTACCCCTCTTAGAAAATCAAGGGTGACTTGAAGAACCCCAGAGAATTATGACCACAGAACTCTCCCACATGCCTTCTGGAGAATGAAGATTACTATCGCTTCCTTTTATTTGGTAGTTTCCCTCTCTGATTACGAAAGTAACACGTTACTCCAACTCTGTAAATATACTGAAACCATTGAATTGTCCAGCTTAAAGTGTGGATTTTATGGGATGTAAATTATAGCTCGATAAAGTGATTTAAGATAAATATATAAATAGAATTTAAAAAGTAACGAGTGCTTATCACAAAAGACTTACAAGACTTGGAAAATACAAGAAAATGAAATCATAATCTCCTCCCTCAGTGATAATGTCTTAACATTTTAGTGGGTTTTGTTCTTTCTTCTATTACTAATGCTTACACAGTTGAGATAATGTTATATGTGTAGCAATTTGTAGTCTATTTTATTTAACTTGATCACAAAGGAATTTTCTCCCATGGTATTAAAAACTCTTCTGGTTCTTCTTTTTAATGGCTGAATAATAATATATCTTGGCACATGTGTGCAAGTATTTCTGAAATGTGAATTCCCAGTAGGGGGTCATAGGGTCAGAATGTAGGTATATTTTGCTAGTGCCAAATTGCTTCCAGAAAAGATTGCATTGATTTATGCTCCACTAATAGATCTTTTTGATTTTTGCCAGTCTAATGGTTAAATAATCTCATTGTTTTAATATGCACCTCTGATTATTTGTGACTGAATATTTTTCTTATGTTAATTGACTATTCCCTGTGAATTGCCTGTTCATATCCTTTTTTCTGAGTCACTTATTTTTTCATATTAATTTGTGTGTAGTCTTTTTTTTTTTAGATCAAAACATTTATTTTTGTGTTACAAGAACAAAAATAAATCCAAGCAGGTAATGAAATAAACATTTTTTTAAAACGTCCCACGCTGGGTTCTCTGTCCTAGAATTCAGTCAATAGTCCACGCGTACGTTGCTTCAACACTTCTTCTGGATGCCATGAGGTCTCCATCTTATAACCATGTTTCTCTAGTTCGGCTCATAACTGGAGAAGTCATCCTGTACATTGTTATCATCCTAATTATCCTCCCAGACATGTGCATCTTCATCTAAACCAGCCTTGTCTTCCGCAGGGAACTCGTCCTCCTTCAGGAGACCTAAGTCTACTGGCTGCGTTTTCTCTGACATTGTGACTCTCTGAGCCCAAAACCTCTCAGGCCAGGAGGAAAGTTGGACCCTTCACTCTTCCTCACGGCAGCTGCCACTGCCGCTCTTGATACATAAGGAGTGCTATGTGTTGCAAATCGTCTATCATAGTCTGTATCTTTTTAACCTCTAAGATGCCTTTCATCATAAGAACTTTTAAATTTTAATGTAGCCAAATTTGTCAATCCTTTCCTTTCAGGATACTGGGTTTCATGTCACCCCAAGAATGGAGAAATATTCTCCTCTGTTTTTTCTAGAATTCTTAGCTTTATTTATACAATTAGATATTTATTTGGAATTTAATTTTTGGGTGTGCGATGATGTAGAGCTACAACCTTGCCAATAGGCTATCATTTCCTAGTGCTTTGAATTGCTACTTTTCTCATATTGTTAATTCCCGTATATATCTGGGTCTCTGGACTCTAACTTGCTTATCTTCTCATGCAATGTTACGCCGTTTAAATTACTGTAGTTCCACAGCACATATTGATATGTAGTAGGCACATGTCCCTCCACACACCTCCCCCCCATTTTTCTTGTCCATAGAACTTTTAAAAACTGTTAGGATTCAGATGGGTATTGTATTGAACTTATCAATTTATTTGGGGGAGAATTATGGGAAATGACAGTATTGAATCTTACCTTCCAGGTATGTGGGATATTGTTCCATTCAGATCTTCTTTGTGACATTTAGAAAAGTGTTATTGTTTTCTCCATATATAATTCATATGTTTCTAGTTAGATTAATTCTAAGGCGTATTACAGTTTTTGTTGCTTTTGTGAATGAAATATTTTTCATTATATTTTCTAATTGTTCGCTGGACTATATGGAAATTGTTGATTTTGATATGCTGATATACCCAGCAAAGGACTTTACCAAACTCTTATGATTTGTTCCTGAAAGAAGGTTTCTGATGGCCTGTTTCTTACAGGGTGTCTGAATATTCCAGGGAAAAACCAGTCGGTTACTATTTCCCTTAGACCAGGGTTTCTCAAACCCTAATGTGCAAATTACCTGGGGAATATTGCTAAATTGCACATTCTGATTCAGCACGTGGGGGTGGAGCCTCAGAGTCTGCATTTCTCACAAGCTCCCCTGTGATGCCAGTGTTGCCAGCAGGGCGGCCCCCAGACCACTGTGCACAGTGAGAGGCTAGGTGATTCCCGGCGGGTGATTCGTCGGGAAACAGACATTCCTCTCAGATTTCAGATAAGAGACAACTGTTGCTGACATCCATGAAGCAAGAAGCTCTGTCGACCTGGGCAGGGTTCCCAGGAGGGTCTGTGAAATGTCAGAGCTGGAAAAGCCCCTGCAAACCAGCTGGTTCAACCACCTTGGTTTACATCTGAGGAAACTGAGGCCCAGAGAGGTAACTGAGTCATCTAAAGCTCAAAGCTGGGGTCCCAGATTGGGTGAGTGCCATACTGGGGCCAGCTTTATTCTCAACCAGCCAGGTGACTGACCCTGAGCAAGGCTCCGAGACTCTGAGCCTTAGTTTCCTCATGTATAAAATGGGGATAATAGTGCGACCTGTCCAGCTCACAGGACTACTCTGAGAATCAAACGGGCTGAAAAGGAAAATGGACAGAGGATGACCTGAGTGCCTAAGGGGACCCAGGTCTGCCTTCAGGATCTTCTGATTTTGCAGAATAAGCTACAGGAGAGTGTGTGGTCTTCTATAGTGTAAGCTCCTGGATCTTACCAGGTGCAACTAATTCAAGCTGTGGAAATGACCATGTGGACCAGGACAGTACGTCTGAGGCTGAACTTGGTCCTCAACTTGCCAATTTATAAACAATGCTGCTAACAGCCGAGATGCTGCCAGTGGTCCCCCACGCTGACTGTACGTGCCAACCTGACCGGCTGTGTCTGACTCTCCAGGCATGGGGCCTAATCATCAGTATTTCTCAAAAGCTCCCCAGGTGCTCTCCACCTGAAACCCAGGGAGTCCCTCTCCTGGGTGCCCCGCTCCCAGCCCTGCTTGTTCCCTGAAGGGGACCTAGTCTGGGGAACAACAGGTGGATGGGTGCCTCCCCTCCGGTATCTGCACACCCTAAGCGGAGGCTGGGCCTGCCCACCAACCAGAAGCAGGACTGAGAGACCAGCTGGTGTCGGTTGGCCTCTGACTTCCTGTAACTTCAGGCAGCTTGAAACTGTGGCGCCTTAAGTCCAGTGCCATGGCTCCCATGCTTCCCCAGGGCCGGGTGAGCTTCGGGGCACCTGCAGGTTAGTAGGAATTTCCAGCCTTCCAGGTTTAAGAATCCCCAGCCCCTTGGTGGTGGTGGGTGACCGAGCAGCCCCTCTGATCTGTGAGCGATGGTGTTGATAAGTTAAAATCATGTCTTCAAGGGGCCCAATGCAGGGAGGGAGGGAGATGACGAATGGCCACACCTGTCCTGCTGAGGGTACACTGCACACCTCCTGCTCCCTCCAGACAGGCCTTGAACCTTCGCCAAGGATGTTAGCAGCCTCCTCCACTTCGCTCCCCTCCAGACATTTCACTCTCACCTCTAACACCCGAAACAGCCCACCTCCTCCAGGCAGCGTTTAGAGTGACCAGAGAAGCCCCCTCCCCCAGCAGCAGGCTGATCCCAGGCCCTTGCCTTGCTCAGCAGCCGCAGCTCACCGGTAGCATGAGGACAGCCGGCCCTGTACCCCCTGGACACTCCACCAGACTTGTGCCTCCCTTTGCAGGAGGGCCCTCAGGTGGGAGCTCCCTTGGATGTGGTCACAGACAGGGTCTGTGGATTCGCTGAGCCTATAGCTTCCATTCCTCCCTCTGTCCATTTTAGCCTTCATACGGACAAGGAAGCAAAATTTACCCTAGCCTCTCTCCCTCCCATCCATCATCCCCCAGGAATAAAGCTGCCTTTGCAACCCTGTGGGCCTCCACCTCAAGGCACAGAGTGGGCGGGCCAGCCACAGGGGATACTGACTTTGACTAGCCTGAGGAGAAGATGGGTTTGAAATAAGGATGCCCCTTACTGATCTTTGGGGTAAAGAAGACACCACAAGGTGTTCCACTTGAAGCCTCCTGCCTTGCCCACCGCCTCATCTCACCAGCGCTGGTGGCCTTGGTGAGCCCGAGGGATGGCTTGCAAACAGAGCTGGCAGGCAACACAGGAACCCACCGCAAGATGGCCCCAGGCCTGGGGATAGGCTTGTCCTTTCTCAGAGAGGGAAAGGAGGGAGACCCTGCGGCCACCAACATCCCCCTCCCTTGAGCAGGTGTACTTTTGGGGGCGGTCGTCATCCTGGGAGGAGGTGCCTCCTTGTGCCAATTGAAAGCCTGTCTCTGTTAGCAAGAGCCGTTCCTTCTTGTTCCGCCCTCCAGAGACCTGCTCAAATGATCAATACGCTTTTAATTAAACTGACTGCTTCCAGATGACTCTGGTCCCCTGGGTCACTTTTTTCTTTCTGTGAACAAGCTTCTTAAGGTAGCTTGTGCTGGGGATCACGTGGGCACTTGGTGAGCCATCCGATCCTCTGAACTTCCTGGGTCAAGGACTGTTTCTCCGAGGGGCTGGGCTGCTTTATTCCAGGCCCTGTTCAGGACACCCAGCCCCTCTCCCTAAGGCTGTAACCCCAACTGGACACACTCAGGCAGAGGCACATGTGTGGGTTGACTGAGGGTTATTTTGTGTGTAATTTGCATGACATTCAGGGGTGGGGGCTTGGCTTTAAAGTCAAACCCTTCAATCCTGGGCACTCTTGCCCCCACGCCCACCTCCCTGGCATATAGTAGGTGTTCAATAAATGCTTGTTGCATGACAGGTGAGTTTTCCTTTTGCTGGAAATACCACACAGGAGGTGACCCAGAGAGATGGGTTTAGTTAGTAACTCTGCAAGTGCAGCTCGGTGCCTGTGTATGACACTCACTGGTCTCCCCACGGGAAATGGGAGAAAAGAGGCTTTCTTAGGGGTGCCCTCGAGGTGACCCGAGAGGAAGGATGCCAGCCAGGGGTCTGGATTGGGATCTCCTGCTGAAGACAGGAGACTCCAGCCACCAAGGTCGAGAAAAGAGCTTTTTATTCAGAGAAAAAAGCAGAAGTTTGCGCCCAGTCTCCCTCAATGTTGGCCCTTGTCTTGTTTTGACAGCATTGCAATGCTGTCAGTTTGAGACTAAGCAGAATGTTACACTGTCGCCAGCCGCCACAGAGGGAAGGCCACTGTGCCACTGGTGTGGGGATTAGACAGGTTGTCACCCACGCAGCCCCAGCTGGGGCCCAGTGCAGCCCCTGCCAGGACAGGGTCTGAGGTGGCTGAGGTCTAGCATGGAGATGGGCTCAGCAAGGAGGGAGAGGCCGGTCTGACTCTGTGCAGGTAAAATGCCTCCCCACCAACCAACCTGAACCCAGAGTGGGCTTTGGGGCTCATGGCGACGGACCTCTGCTTTCCGCCAAGCCGGCTGGAGGAAGAGCAATTTCAAGGCCATTGTGCAAGGGCCTTTCTCATGCACACACCTCGGACCTCCGGCCTGACCCTGCCAGACTGACATCATCAGCAAACGGTGACCAGCGAACCTCTCCCCTTACCCTGCCCGCTGACCGCGGACTCCTTTGGGACTCACACAGCACTGCTGGAGTCTCTTTGGTACACAATTCACCCTGTGGGCACCCCAGGGCTGCCTTCTTGGTCAGGACAACAAACAGTGGGTCTCCACGGTCAGACGACAGCTCTCTCCCAAAGTGGTGAGAGGCAACGCCCTGCCCGGACTGCGAGTTAATGGGCTTTGTTAATAAATATTAATAAGTACGAAAGCTGACACGGACCAAGAAGAGATGTCCATGGCCTGGCTGTGGAAGGCCCGAGCCTTTCTGGTTGCTCTGTCAATGCAAGTCCTGCCACCAGCCCTCTCACGGGACATCACGAAAGAGCTCTGAGCAGGGGTTAGGACAGAGGTGGCTCTGTGAACACCGGCCCCTCCGAGCAATTAGCCCTAGAGCCTGGCGGTCATCAGCTGTAGGCAGGGGTCTCTCTCTGCAGAGCCACTGCCCTTCAGGGAAGGCCCGAGGACACTGCCCGAGGATTGCGCTGCTGCCTTCCTTTCTTTCTCACGGTCACCAGAGCCTTCGTAAAGTGTCCTAGGTGGCACCTCTGAATACTGACCTCCTTCCCCATTTAACTGGGGCCACAGGCCCCCCTGGACGAGGACTCATGCTTGGCCTGGAGCTGGAAGAGGGGCCCTGGAACAGAGACATCGCGTGGGCAGGCTCCGCCCTGGTGCCAGCTGATCCTGGGGCAATGGGCCAAAGAGAAGAACAAAGGCCTCCGCTGGGAGCCGGGGTGGGGGAGCCATTCTTACACCAAAGGGGGAGACGAACCCTTCTGTTGGGCTTTGTGTAGAAGATGCTGCTTCAGGAACCACTGGAGTGGGGTTTTGGAGCTCAGGGACCCCTGCTTGGGCCTTCAGCCTTCAAATGGGGGGACCAGGGTCCAGGCTCATCTTGGTAGAGTGTGAGGGTGTGTGTGTGTGTCTGTCTTCCTGGTTCATCAATCTGCAGGCCCTGGCTACCACCCGCCCTTTCAGACACAAGGTGGGCGTTATCTTGGGAAAACTGGCCTAAAACACACAGGTCAGGTTTCTGGTCAGTTCTGCCTAGGTTGGTTGTCAGACTCCATCCAGGAGGGAAAGGTAAATTCCGTTCTGGTGGAGGAGGTCCGAGTCCCCAGAAGCCCTATTTAGGCCCTCCCCCAACTCCGACCTGGGCGTGGACAGATCTGTAGCCACACGGCAGGACAGCGTTAAGCTGTGACTCCACTAAGCCTCTCGTGTCTGCGGAATGGGAGCTAAGTTCTGGCGCAGCTGCCATAGCTCAGGCTTGTTTCCGACCTGGGCACGTCCCGCATGTGTGTATCTGCAGCCCAGTGTTGGGGTCCTCTCAAACCATGCCTGACTCCGAAGGCAGCTGCGGCACAGGCCTTTCTCCTAATTCAGGCCGGTGGCAGGGGAGCCCTTTCCGGGAGTGGCCGCGATGCTTGCAGCCTTTCCAGGCTGATCTCTCCTGATGTCAGGGTCCCACCTCAGGTCCCCAAGGCCAGCCCTGCTCTGTCCTTCCATCATAATGTTATGGCCTTATTTCTCAAAAGCCAGGAGCAGGGCCCCAACCTTCCCATGAGAAGACAGACATCCCAAGAACAGCCTAAGGCGAGTTCTTTTCTGGTCCCCAGCCGCCCTGTTCAGAGCTCCCTTTGTTGGGGGAGGCTGTGCAAGCGGCAGAGGACGCCCAGTCTTGGAGAATGGTTCCTGACGCTCCCTCTCCCAGCAGACTCTTCTTAGATGGACTCAGAAAAAGTCCCTCCTCTGTCATCCCTAGTCTATCCCCCACCTCCCAGACCTGGCTCAACACGGGGAGAGAGAGGAGGGGTTACAGAGGACAGCCACGCCAAGTGAGAGACCCGAGGGGAGCAGCGGGGTGCAGGGGAGCGCGTCACACCCATGAACCCCGCAGCCACAATGCCAGTGACAGGTTGACAGTGACTTTTCAGTGTCCGTCCCTCTCCCCATAGCAGCATTACTCATCTATCACCTCCACAGAGTCCTTGTCCTTCCCCTCCTCAGACTCCGTCACTGTTTCCGTGTTGTCGGTGTCTGACAGTGTCACCTGCCGCACCCAGTCTCCGTCACGGAGAGGCTCTGGATGACACGGTCCGGAGAAGGGGTTGAACCAGTTCGGGGAGAAGTCCCCACCAAAGGTCTCCTTTACCGACTCCCAGCTGCCCGTGTGCTCCCTCGGCTGGTTCTTTCGTTTGAGGCGCTCAATGCCCTGGAGGGACAGTGAGATAAAGAGGGTCAGCATATAGGGCTGTGCACCTTCGGGCACATACCCCCAGCCCCGGCACAGCCTGGCACTGAGGCCCAGGGCATGGGTGGATGGGGCTGCTGGGGCACAGCCTGCTGTAGGCCAGGTCAGGGCTGGAGACTCCTCAGAGGGCTGAGGGGGCGGAGTGGGGAGCAGCGTGGAGTAGCACAGCAAGCAGGACCTTCCAGAGGAACTGGCCTGGTTCTCACCTACCACTAGCCCTCCCTGCTTCCCTCCCACAGGTGCCAGGGCTGCCCAGCCTTGTTAAGTAAGGCCAGCTGCTGCACAGGAGCCAGGCTGCCCAGTGGCCAAGGACCAAGGAGTGACATCCCAGGCCTCTCTGGGCATGAGCTGGCCCACCCATCCTGAGACCACTAAGACAGATGATCCCTCCCTAAATATTCTGGACCACTCCCCACCATGGTAGGCACAGCAAACTTAGCACGAAGAAGGATGACAGGGTTCAGGTGAGAGTGCAGGATACAAACACGTGAGATGAAGAAGCACATGAGTGTATGGCTAGTGCCAACATGCAGCAAGCAGCTGGAGGGTGCACAGGGTCACTGTGGGGAGGCAGAGGCTGGCGTGAGGGCTGCTCATGCAGCACACCACCTTGTGGCCTCTCCCAAGCTGCCCACTCACCTGCCTCTGGGTGTCGGCTGCGACTCAGCCGCCAGGCCACAGAAAGAGGGTGTTGGGTAAGGGGAGAAAGCCAAAGGAGTTAAAGGCACAGCGGGCCAGCTCTCAAGGCCCACAACACCCTGCCCAGAGCCTTTTGCCCCTCACTGGGGCCTCTGCCTTCTCCATCTCTTCTGGAAGCCAAGGGAATTGGCTGCAGGTTTGCCAGGCACAGATATTGCTCATTGACATGACTCTTTCCACCTCGGAACCATCTCTGAGTACCTAGTTCTAGGCTTTCTCTTCTTTTCCACACAAGAGCCTCACATAACTGGTATAAACCTTTATGTTATACAGAAAGAGAAACTGAGGCACACACACAGACTGAGATCTGACCACATCCTGGGTCAGCTCTTCTTCTCCAGTACTCTGTCTTCCCACACCATATCAGAGATTTACGTTTCTCGGCTTTTGAGAAAATTGTAGTCTAAAGAATCTGATCTCAAAGTGTCTGCTCATGAGAGACTTTACTGATTATGAAGGGTAAAACAGTAGCTTCACAGTAAGGAAACTTTGCAGGCACCACCTTAACCCAATGAAAGTTAATATCACCGGGAATGAGACGCATCAGCGTCATGTATCTTGGATATAGTGCACTGGGAAGGACACACCATCACCTCAGAGGTTTTCCTGCCCCAAATGCATCATCTCAATTTAATTGTGAGAAAACACCAGACAAACACAAATAGAAGAATAGTCTACAAAATATCTGGCCTATAATCTTCAAATGGGTCAAAGTCTGATGAAAATGTTTTGAAACCAGATAGGAGTGGTAGTGGTACAACATTATAAGTTCCCCTGAATTGCACACTTTAAAATGGTTAATTTTATGTTCTGTGAGTTTCACCTCAATTAAAAAAAAGGGTCAAGTTTGTGAAAGATAAAGAAATACTGAGAGACTGCCATGGATTGGAGGAGACTAACGAGACATGGCAAATGATGCAATGAGGCCTCCTGGAACAGAAAAGGATGTCAGTGGGACACCTGGAGTAATTTGAATAAAGTATATAGATTAGTTAATGGTGTTGTATCAATAGATTTCCCGGTTTTTATATTTGTATTATGGTTATATAAAATGTTTACACTTGGAAAGACAGATTGAAGGGTAAATGAGAACTCTTTGTACTATTCTTACCACTTTTTTGTAAGTTTGAAATTATTTCACAATAAGTTAAAAAAAAATCTGAGACACAAATATTTATGCAATAGTCTTAAACACTGAATTATAACAACGGAAAGTTGGAAACAATTGAAATGTCCAATAATGATGGCTAAGAAAATTATTCTATAAAGCAGAATACTATGCACCTATTAAAAATGCTGTTAATACAGTTTTACATGACATTCGAAAATCCTGTCCACGTGGCAACAAAGGAAGAAAGCTGCACATGACATCATCATGGAACTTGTGGTTACCTGGGGGGATAGTTTAGAAGATCTGTACTTATTTCTGTAGACTCCCCACACTTTCAAGTTTTCACCAATGAGCAGGTGTTACTTTTATAATCCGACCAAAATCCTGTTTCAGAAAATGGACCTTGTTGACACAGTCTTGAGGGAGCCTCGCGGAGTCACAAGCACAGGAGGCCCCACTGCTCCCGCATGGGCCCCTTGCCAGGCCTCCTCACTTGGCAGAAGCAGTAATGGCTCACGGGGTGACTTGCTTTGGGGATCCTGCATTCCTTCCTGGATGATCGTGTGCAGCATGTCAAGAGCGGCGTTTTAACTGTGATTGCAGGGGAGCTGGGACCTCGCCATGTGGCAGACCAGGCTACAGAGGGGACACCCAGAAAGGACACATTGGCTGTATCCACACTGACTGGGCTCGCTCAAAGCCATGACTGTGGGTCCTCACAACAAGCAAGTATTGACACAGCAGATGGGAAAAAAGAAGTTGAGAGGCCATGACAGTGGCCAAAGCTTGTCCTGCTGGTCATGCACCAGAATCAAGCCTAGACCTGGTGTCTTCTCTCCACGCAAGGTGTTTTCAGTCCTACTGCAAATTCTCACTCTGCCTGTGCGGATCTGGAAGACAGAGAAGAGCTGAAGGGGAAAATGAAGCAGAAGAGCCACAGGACTACTATTTCCCATTCCAGTGTGTTCCCAGAGGAGCCCTCTAGGACTGTACTCCACCTCCTCAACGAGCTCGCAAAAGCATCCCAAAGTCCGGCCTGGAAGTTCCTCAGCGGTTAAGTGGACAAACATCCAAAGAGTGTCAACTCTGAGTCTGGAGAGGAGAAAATATTCCAAAAGAATCTGATGCATAAAAAAGGCCTGAGGTTCTGGACTCTCAGCATCAGGGGGAGCCAGAGGGGTTTCTTTTTCCAGATAGGACTCAATTTTGAGTTTTGTGTAGATTTAAAGGTGTCCTGAAGGTAAGGTTCTGAAGCTGGAGGTTTGCAGAGGCAGCAGTAATACTGACTTCAGGCTCAACAAACAAGAATGGTTGATTCCTGGGGCCGCCCGTGGCCGAGTGGTTAAGTTCGTGCGCTCCGCTTCGGCAGCCCAGGGTTTGGCTGGTTCGGATCCTGGGCGCAGACATGGCACTGCTTATCAGGCCATGCTGAGGTGGTGTCCCCACATAGCACAACCAGAGGCACTCACAACTAGAATATACAACTATGTACTGGGGGGCTTTGAGGAGAAGGAAAAAAAAAAAAAGAAGATTGGCAACAGATGTTAGCTCAGGTGCCAATCTTAAAAAAAAAAAAAAAAAAAGAATGGTTGATTCCTGGTAAGGGGGTAACAGCCTAAGCCAGAACCTCTTACAGTGAGTGTGTGACCTAGGCCTTATGGGCATCGGCTGCTTGGATGACACAAGAGCTGTGATCTGTAAACAAACCCACCAACGCCCAAAAATTAATGTGCCAGGACTAAGTCTCCCAAGGGAGGCTGAGACCCAAGTACAGCTCTGTAAGGACTCAGCTGAGACCCAGAGAACAAGAGCAGGTGGTCCCCCGGCTCCCTCCATCACCAGACATAGAAAGTCAGAGATGCTGTAGCCCACACATACCTGCCCTCCTCAGAGACAGCCAGATAACTCTCTCTTCATGAGTGTTTCATAGCTTTTTATTGCAACCCGCAACAGAAAACAGCTTTTTATTGCAACCCGCAACAGTTGTGACGATTTGAAAAGCACAGCTCTAACAGAGCTAACGTGTATTTGAGCCACACCATGTGCCAGATACTAACACTTACCTTCATTACTCTCATTTAATCCACACGTCAGCCTTGTGACTCCCTGATTTTACAGATGAGAAAACCGAGGCTTAAGTAAGTTAGTGCCCAAGGTCACACAGGAAGGAAGTAGCTGACTAAGGATGTGAACCAAGGACTGAAGCCTGGGCCCAAATTTTCCATCGCTGGGCTACGTTAACTCAGCTGCAGAAATTCAGGGCGTCCTTTGTGTCCATGTCAGAGCAGGTGCCTTCCCCGAGAAGATTTTTGCAAACACTCCTCTGCAATGCTTTTCATAATTCCTTGGATCAGCTTCATCAGCTCCTGTGCGCACAGATGGTGAGTGATCCCTGGGGCCACTTGGCTTTGCTGGGTAATCACGCTGCTCAAGTCATCAATTTTTTTTTCTTGAGGGAGAGGGTGGGGAAATGAAGTCTTCAGTTTGGCAGAGTAGACTGGCCCACGGCTTGTTTCTGTTTCAGTGTGAATTCTTTATTTCCTATGAGGTGATTCTCAGGTCAGATGTGTATTTAGAAGATTTAAGAAAAAGCCATGTGGGTGTTGAGGCCCACAGATGGACACCAAAGGCCAGGACATGTGCATGTGTCTGTCCCAGGCTCTAATTCCTCACTAGCCACCACTCCCATTTAGAGGACCCCAGCTCCACTCTTTCCCCTCTGCCCTCTGGACGGTTCTCTGCCCAAAGGGCCCCTCGGTCCAGAAACCAGTTGGACAGATAGATTTGCAGGAAGACTGTTGGACAGACTAATAATTTGGCTCCCTTTCACAAAGCAGACTTCCCTTGTTTTCTCAGCATTCATGTTGGGGAGGCTGTGGGTTGAGGGAAGAGGACTCAGTCGGCACCCCCTACCGAGCACCACACTGAGCCCAGCAGCACACGGGGCCAATCATCGGCAGGCATCAGGGAGCCCCGGTGGGGCGACCCCAGCACACCCCAAGTGGATTCTCAGACGCGCATGTGTCAGAATCCCCTGGAGGGCTATTAAAATCCAGCTTGCTGGGCCCCACCCTCTGAGTTTCTGATTCAGCAGGTCTGGGGTGGAGCCCAAGAATGCGCTTTTCTGACAAGCTCCCAGGTGACGCTGATGCTGCTGGTCTAGGGGCCACGCATTGAGATGCACTGCCTCAGCGCATCGCCAGCAAGGTTCTTGAGAGGGATTCCAGCAAAATCTTCCTCTCTTCTCATTTCCTTGGTATTTAAGGGCCCCTTCTAGGCTGACACCCCTGGCTGGCTCACCCCACAGGCTGATGCACTACAGGTCTTAAAATGAGAGAAACTTAAAACCCATTAGCTGGCTGGGAGAGCCCAATGCAGGCTCCCAGATCTGGGGTTTCTGTGTGATTCTGACCTCGTATAGGTGGTTAATAAACATTTCTTAATTTACCTCATCTGAAAGATTCCTGCATCAAGAAGATGGATTTTTAACCTTCCAAGCAGCCTAGCCAGAATGAGCAAAGCTGGTAATTCAAGGCATCTCACTTTGGGTTCTTCCAAGAAAAAAGTATTAGAAAGATGAAATGGTATGACTAAGAGGAGACTTGGCACATGCACTTGTACCCAAATTCTCTTTGTGCACACAACGCCACCAAGCCCATGCAAATAGGCATCGATTTGTTTGGCCCGAGGCCTTTTGCCTGTTCCATATGGTTGCTATTAACACAAAGCTGAAGCTGACAGGCTTCAGGAAAGAGTCACGAACCCAACTCGCCGTGTCACCTTCCTCTTTATTTTTCCCTTACGCTTTCCAGAGCCCAGGTTCTGAACCCTATGGCCACTACTGGCTCATTTCCCATATGTGCACCATTCAGTGCTGTCAGAACTCCTGTGCCAGAGCAAAAAGCTGGGGCCGCGTTTGTGTGGAGGGGTGTCCTCTTTCATGAGTCATCTGGGGATACTGAGTGGAGCTCAGGGATGTCTATTTCTTCCCGCGTGGGCACCAGGCTGGAGACCAATCACTACACTGCAAAGGACAGTCACGCTCCTTAGTCAGTGAGCTCTCTGAAAAATGTTTTTGATCTTAAGGAAAATGAAATAGGAAAAACACAGGGAATCTTGGAGTATTCCTATCTTCTGAGTGCACATTTCACTCTGGCTTGAGAGCTGGGGAACACTCATTCGTTCAGCCAAAGGGCTTGTAAAAACCCAGAGGGAGAATCATACAGGATGTCGGAAGGAGCCTGCATCTCTGGGAGATATCCATAGTATGCTCACGTTTAAATGATGACTTTCTATTTTTAGGATTCAAGAAAAAGTCAACACATCTTCAGCTCTAACTACTGCATTCCTTAGAAATTCCATGAGGGAAAACCCAATCTGGGTCGCTTAAAAAAAAGCCCTTGAAGATGGAGTACTTTGAGGGCATCCGAATACTTAAAAAATATTCCGAGTCCCAGTCTCCGTCCCCTGGGAGGAGGACAGCACGGCAACACTGCCTCCCAAGGGATGGATCCCTGAGGGGTGGGACCAGGGCCAGAGCCTTCTCAACTGCTGTCGAGTCACTTAGCCACACTTCTTTCATACACCTAAGTGAACTGTTTAAAAAAAAAAAAGAATGTGGAAAACAAATGCTATAAACTCGATTTAAAAACAGCATTTAAAAACAATTTCAGATCTCAGCCTTGACTATAGCATAAATAGTACCGTAGAGGCCAGTCAAGGTTAATTGACTCAGAAAAGCTCGTAGAGTTCTTTGGTTAAACATCAAAAGGATGATGGACAACCCCTCAAAACAGCGCACCAGAACTGCGTGTGGAGGTTTTCGCAATTTCCTCTGGTTTGACTTTGGTTCCTGCTGGGTGGGCAGAAGAAAATGGGGCTCTCCCCTATGTCCAACCCCAGAGGCAAACTTGGCAGACTTCATGACCTTCCTGTAGCAACGGAGAGCCCAGGAGCACAAGGGAAGGAACTCCGGCTGCAGAAAGCCAAAGGACAGGGGCCTGGTAGGGCAAGCTTGCTCAAGAGGGGACCATAAAGGTCCTTTAAAGACACAATAAACACCTCATTCAAGGGAGGGAGCATAAATAAATGTCCTTTAAAAGCAAAGAAATAAACAGCAAACTTGGGTTGACCAGACCATCGGCTCTCCCCGCAGGTAACACTGTGAGAGAGCAGAGCTCAATCAGAACAGGGTTTGGAAAAATTTTATTGCATTTTGTTTCCATGTGGAAGCACTGACAGAATTGAAAAGAGGCAGCATGTTTCGCTTACTTTTCTGAAAAATCACATGGCTAGATTAACTTTCTCCCTATCCAGGACTGGATTTAATAAACCTTACCCCCCACCCCCACCCCAAGCAAAAGCTAAAAAAGGAGGTTTGTGGTGATGATCACTTAAAAAAAATCCATGTGTGAGAATTCACAGATGGTCAGTATTCAAATTTCCGTGACTTTTGCATGTGAGGGCACTCTCTGTCTCCTCACCTCCCCCGCTATCTTCAGGCTTTCCTTTTGCAAATGAGACTGACACAGCAGGCGCCTCCAAACGGAAGAGCTTCTCAGTGCCAGGCCCCAGCTCCCGTGAATCAGCTGACTGCAGTGAAGGCTGTCTAGCAACTGTGAAAAGTTTGGGGGCTACAATGTTGCTCTCGCATCACTGTCAGCCCCATGCCAGGACAATAGTCTCCCAGGTTAAAATATTGTAAGACATGGGGGCTGGCCCAGTGGCCGAGTGGTTAAGTTCGCGCGCTCCGCTGCAGGCGGCCCAGTGTTTCATTAGTTCGAATCCTGGGCGCGGACATGGCACTGCTCATCAGACCATGCTGAGGCAGCGTCCCACATGCCACAACTAGAAGAACCCACAACGAAGAATACACAGCTATGTACCGGGGGTGCTTTGGGGAGAAAAAGGAAAAAATAAAATCTTTAAAAAAAAAAAAAATATTGTAAGACATGGGTATGTGCCCATTTATGGGTCTAAAACATCATTGTGAACCCACTTCAGAGATTTACAAAGCCAGGAAGCAGAGGCTGATGGTGGCGCTGGGGACCGTGGCTGTCTCACTCAGCATTAACACTGACTGACTGACATCTCGCTCGGGGAGCGCGGGAGCTGAGGTGGCAGGAGGGTGAGCAGATGTAACAAAGGAAAATGCAGCTCGCCTAAAATTTGGAATTTTTTTTTGATTGTGTAAGGCATTTTGAACTGGAAAAACGTCTTTTTCCTTCACAGTCTTCCACATAATCAGAGGGAATATAATTAGTGATTCAGAATACAAATAAGACCCCTTTCATCTCTCTCCCCACCCCCCTTAAAATCATTCTACGCACCCGAGCCCATAAAGTACAAGGCAGGCAATTGATTTTGTGAATTAGGAGGCAAACTGTGTCCACGTGGGGGATGAGGCCGCTGTGTCAAGGGCCCTTCTGAAGGCTCCAGCCCTGATCCTGCCCCTCTCAGGCCTCAAGGGGTAAGCATCCATCTTCAGTGAGGTTTTAAGTCCCATCAGGGCACCCGCCACTGCCTCGTGGGCAGTGGGAGGTCATGGGCCCTCCTGGCTCTCCTATGCATTCCCAACCAGGGGTCCGGACGGTCCATCCATGCACCAGCGTCACGTCTCACTCAGTTAGTAGAAGTGGGCATGGCCGGAGACAGCACCCTCCACATTAGTCATGCCAGACAGACAGCAGAGAGGAAACCATAGGCCAGAGAAGTGATTTTAAAAAGGAAAAAAGAAGAGCAGCTTCAGTCACCAAAAAATATAAAGGATGATCTCTTAAAAATAAAACATGGGAACATTTTTTTTTCTCTGCAATGCTTAGCCATTTTATACTTGAGACATAAAAAAAAAGTTTTAGAGTAGTTGTTTTGCTTTTTCGGTTTAAACATTCATGAGAATGGATCGGACGGTAGTGCTGTGATGTGGTTTGTGTCTGAGTGGCAATGCTGGTCAGGGATCCTTCAGACCACATACTGGTACGGGTCTGCCTTCCCTTGGTCTGGCGTGGCAAAGGGGCTGGCCCAGCCTAGAGAGAAGGGGTGGCCAAAAACGGCTTTCATGTTCATCCATTTTGTTTTTTTAGCCCATCTTCTCTCTTCCTTTTTCAATTGTTCTATTCCCTGAAAACAAGAACAATCATACTTTCAGTCAAGCACTTTATTGCTGTGGTTTGGGGGGCGGGAAGGGATGTCCACTAGCCTGAAGTGAATGGAGTAAATGCTTTCTTTTTAAAGCCATAACGCCAACTACATTGTACCTGTTTCTTCTCTTTCTCTCATAAAAAGTGCTAAAAAAAAAAAAAAAAAAGACATACTTCTTTGGGGTGGGCACATATTTATAAGTCCCTCTAGGAAGGGAAGGAAAACGAGCACAGCAGCAGCCCCTAGGCCATTACTCCTAGTGACGCCGATCCGTGTTCTGTTAAGTGAAGGAGGCCATCTACGCACAGCTGAGTCCTGCTGGGTTCTGCAGAGACGCCTCTGGCCAGGGCCCGGGCTCTGTGTGGCAGAGCTGGGAAGGCTCTGCTGTGAGAAGCCTCAGAGCTGGCGGGGAGCTCATGATCATGAGAGCCAATGACGGCTGTTAATTTGGGACAGCTTCACGGGAAGTTCGAACCTACTATGACCACTTTGCAGACGAAAAAAAAAGGAACAAATCAAACGACTGCTCTGGTGCTGTCAGTCTCGCCAGGCAGGGAGGTCAAGAAGCACCCTGCCTAGCGGGGCTGGCGAGGCCCAACTGAGAAGGTCTAACAGGAGTGAGAGGCTGTGGTGAGGGCAGAGGTCACCACAGAGAAGGAAGGAGGAAGGATTAGTACAGGTTAGAGGGGCTGCGAGGACAGACCAGTCAGCCTCACTCACGGCAAATGTCCTCCTAGTGCTCCCTGGGGAGGAGGGTGACCCGAGACCACCTCAGCAGCTGTTGCAGAGCCTGCGCCACACCCCCCGCTAAGTCTCACAGCAAAAACGGGGACTGAGGGAGAAGCTGGTCCCTTCCCTTCTCTCTTCTTCAGATGGAGCTGGTCAGTGGGCAGGGCCTGAGAATGTGCCCCTGCCCAGAGGGACAGGGGAGGAGCAGCCTGGCAGGAGCCTGGCCAGGGGTCTGTCTGCTGTGGTCTCTGAGGAGGTGGGGAGCAGGGAGGAGGCCTGAGGGGACAGCCCAGTGTGAGCTCTGTTCACAGCCTGGGGACCTGGGAAGATACAGGTCAAGGGGAAGACACCCTTTCCCATGAGCTTCAGGGCCCTCATTCCTTTCTCCTTTCCTTTCCAACACAACTCTCTTTAGGAACGGCCTTGAGGGGAGGGGCAGCCAGGGCCGGCTCTGTGACAGCTCTCCTTCTGGCTCCCCCAGACCATGGCCTGTGTGGCCTGGCAGCATCCCAACAGCTTGGGGGGCCGGACAGTCACCTCTGGGTTCCCTGCAGGGCTCATGTAGAGAAGCTGGTCATATTTAATGTTTGGATACACAGCTGGATCTACACCACTGGACACTATTTTTACAGAAACTCTTTTGCAATGTTGTTATTTCTTATAAAATAAAAGAAGATGCTGAGAACCCCCAAGCCTTCTAAACCCATCGAGAATTCCCACAGATCCAAATGATGGTGCCTTGGCAGCCAGATAGCATCGTCCTTCTCTTCTCTGCATGCTGATTTTCCACACCCACAGGGAGGGGGGCCTCAGCAGCAGAGGCAAGGACTCGGTCTTCCTCTGAGCCTCCAGCTAAGGCTGACTACCCAACAGGCCCCAAGCCCCCAGCAAGAGGGTCCTAGACGACTCCTGAGAGCTGCCACCTGAGGGGGACCTTGGGAAGCCAGGAGTAGAGGCAGGATGGACTGACAACCTCACGCCTCTGCTCCTCATCCAAGAGCTAAGTGCTGCCCCTTCCTCCTGGGGCCTCTTACCTGGACCCTAAAGCCCAAAAGGGAAGAAACGCCTACATTATAGCCATGGATTGACCACCTTGAGGCTTTCAGACACTTTAGGAAGGTGGAAGGGTAGTGGCAGTGACACCAGGGGAGCAGACTCCAGTCTGGCTCAGCCAGCAGCTTTGAAGCTCCCAGAGAAGAAGCTGTTAGTAGGTGGAAGGTAGGGGTGGGGAGAAGGCAGTGGACGAGGACCAGATCTGGGCCAAGCAGAGAGAACCCAGAGGCTAGGCGAGAGCTTGCTGGCCACTGTTCTCAGGGGCTCAAGGCAGGGCTGTCTCCTGACTCTGCCCTCAGGACATAGTCTGGAAGTCACTTCCTCTGGGAAGCTGACCCTGCCTATGCCACCTGGCTTAGGGCACCCTTTGTCCACTACCCTGTCTCTAGGCCTGTGGCCCTTGGATGGGAAGGGTGTCCCAGTGCCGAGCACAGTGCCCAACACAGTGCTGTGCAGAAGACAGAACCATCATGAGAAGATGAAAGGACTTGTGGCAAAGGGAGGCCTTCACCAAGGCTGCTGCGCCCCTTCCTGGTGTGACCTTCCATGCTGGCCCCAAGCAGGGAGGACTCGTGTGTGTGCAAAGATCCAGTGTCACTGCAAATGGAAGAATGTGCCCTGCACACCCGGGGCCTGGCCTGCAAGCAGTCCTCCCAGCAGCACCTGCCCAGGTCCCCCCAAACCCTAGGTGCAGGGGGTGGGCAGGCCACCTGCTTACCGTCTCATCTGTGCAGATGGAGTGCACCTGGGTGCCAAACATCACCGACGTGAAAATGAGGAAGAGCAGCCCCTCAAAGCACAGCAGGATAAGGAGGATCACGGTGGTGGGTGGTGAGAAGGAGCTGCACTCTGAAAGAGAAGGAGCACATGGGGCTCAGGGCCACCGCACGCCACCCACCGCCCATCACCCAGTGCCCCGAGCCCAGCAGGCCTGGGGGCCACACGTCCCGGGCCTCCAGGTCTTGGCAGGGACCATCCTGCCCCACGCAGGGCTGTACCAGCGCTCCCTCAGGGAAGCCCTCGTGCCGGGGCCTCCCCTCCCTGCTGTTTCTTTCCCGGCCAGCACGTTATGTCTGTATCCTGGTGCCAAGCACAGTGCCTGGCACACAGGACTCAGGGTTGAGGCGTGAAAGCCTGACGACATCACAGGAGACCTTCCTCTCCTCAGAGCACAACACAGGCTGCACAGGTGGAAGGGCCTCAGTCCAGTCCTGGTTTGCCCATGAGATTTCTGGGCATTCCTGTATGAGAAGCCCCTGCTCTGTGCCTCTGTCTGCGGGTGAGAGGAAAGGGCAGGTCTGGAGGACCACTCAGTGGCTTTGGAATTTGAAGCTCACCAGGGGGCAGTCTGACTGCCTGCTCTGGCCCTGACCCAGATGTGAGATAGCCCCCATGGGAAATGCCCCCTCTCAGGAGCATCTGCATTGCTGAGACAGTCAGCCCCCAAGGCTGGAGCGATGGAAGTGGTGCTTTTACTCTCTTGGCCCCCTCTACGAGCCCACCTTGACTTGGGGTGTGACCCTAGGCAAGCCATCCCTCCCCAGGCCTCTACTCCCTCCACTGTAGAGCAGTGAGGTTTGACTAGATGTGTGGTTCTGTTTTAAACAGCAGAGTCCTTTGTCTGAATGATGTCTAAATCAGAAACTCAAGCCACTGAAGAGAAAAGCATTAGGTGCTGTGGGAGATGGTTGGGGGCAAGCAGGCAGGAGAGCCCCTTCTCTGGCTCCACCAAGGCAGCCTCTCAGGAAACCCCTGTGGGAATGTGGCCCCCACTGGGAGACGGCTAATAACGCTGGCAGTGCAGTCTTGGCCCTGTGGTTGGCGCTACTACCCAAGGACTCTTGCCCTCGCTGACAGCCACCTGGGCCTGTCAAGCCCGGGTTGTGGTTCACGTTTCTCATTGCTCCAGGGCTCAGGCCTGTTTCTCTGGCTGGAGAGGTCCAACCCCGGAGGGCAGGGTGGGACTTCACTGGGCTTTGGGAATTCAGGGAGTAAGTACCCCTCTGAGCTGCCCTGCTGGCTCCCTCACAGAAACCTCAGGAGGGGAAAGGAGGTCATATCTGAGAATGAGCTGGGAACCAGCTCCCAAATCTGGGAACTCAGCACTGTATGAGTGGTACGGTAAGGAATATCTCGTCTAAATGCCTTCATCTTCTCGCATTTCCCTCGGGAACTTAATGCCTCCAGATGGTTTCCCTTCCTGGTTCCTTGCTGGGCAGGGCTTGGTTGAGGTGGTCTAGCAGCCTGATGGGCTGGCCCCAGGTGTGGCAGCTTCCTGCCTGGACTCTCGAGGGGTGGTGGGAAGGATGAGGGCTCTGAAATCAGGCAGACATGGCAGGGCATGGATCTTGGCACCAACTCCTGACCTCAAGCTCTAAGATGCCACTAGTAATATTCTGTTCCAGCCCCATGTCTTTCCTATCCTGTGTATTGTGGAATCACCTGCTTCTTTCTGTCCTTGCTCGATATCTGCTGCTTCCACTGCACTCCAGCTCCAGGAGGGTGGGAACATTGGCTCCCTGCTGTAAACCCACCTTGGAGCAGTGCCTGAGCAGAAAAGAAAGTGGGCCAGAGGTTGGCTCCCCGAGCTTTAGTTTGCCCTTCTGTACAGTGGGATGATTGAGAACTCATGAGAACATCTGCACAGCTTGGCCTGGCCCAGCTGGAGCACAAGGGGATGCTCACTGGGCAGAGGTGTCTTGCTCCTGACCGTGGAGCTGGAGGCAAAGCCCGGTGCTGTGGCCCATTTTCCATTCTTGCAGTTGCCAGCGTTCTTCCCTTCCTGGGCTGGCCCCAGGAACTATAGATGGAATTTGAAGAGGCAGGAACCAGATCCAGGGATCCAGGGAATGTGGAACAACCTCCCTACCCTTCTTTAAATATGAACTCCAAGTGTCCTCACCTTGGGGGACAGCCCCCTGCCCCTTCTTACACAAACTGGATGGCCCAACAGCTCATCTAGGGCTGGACAGTGATGGTACTAACTTCACATACGGCCAACTTTCAGACCTCCACTTTGGGGATTGTCTGGTGCCTTCCCAACCTAGCTGCCACAGGAACTGGGTGCCTTGAGACTTCTCCATCAAGAACCTTGACCAAAGACAATCATGAGCATGCAGAGAGGCACTAGAGTCACCCAGACAGGGCTGGAACACCCTGCTCCAGACTGAGGCTTGAAGCACAGGCCCTCTTCTTAGCTGTGTGAGCTTGGGAACTTGCTCAACCTCTGTGAGCCCCAACTTTTGTCATCTGCAAAGCAGGGAGCCTCTCTTCTACCCTGCAGGCTTGATATAAGGTCGAAATAAGGCACTGCTCAAAAAGCCCTGTGTGCCATGCCTAGCTTTAAGTGGGCCTTAACAAAACAGCGCCTGCCAGCTCCACTCAAAAGATAGAGACATTCTGCCTCATTGATAGTCTGTGTTACTCTCATCACTGCCCATGTCTGTTAACCTGAGGATGGGTGGGTGGTGTTTGTGAGGATAAAGTGTCCTTGTCAGACTCCACCATCAAAGTTGCCAAGACCACATCTGGAGCTGAACTGGATCCCAGGGCCTAGCAGAATGTGTCCTTTCAGAATGTTCACCAAGGAACTTGCTGGTGACCCAACTAGCTATACAGAATGGCATGATCTCCAGAAACCCACTCAGCCCCTCCCTCTTCTAGTAGCTTGAGCTTCCCCTCTCTGGCTTATGCCAGAACTGTGGTAGTCACGAAACTGGGGAGACATGGTGCTTTGGACTGAACTGCTTCCCCCTAAAAGTTGTGTTGGAGCCCCAACTCTCAAAGTGATGGTATTTGGAGATGTGGCCTTTGGGAGGTCATGAGGATTGGAAGAGGTCAGGAGAGGAGCGCCCTCATGATGAGGTTAGTGCCCTTATAAGAAGAGATACCAGAGAGCTTACTTTTCTCTCTCTGCCACAAGAAGGTGGCCATTTGCAAGCCAGGAAGAGAGCCTGCACCAGGAAATGAATTGGCTTGGTCTTGGACTTCCCAGCCTCCAGAACCATGAGAAATAAATGTTTAAGCCACCTAGTCTATGGTATTTTGTTATGGCAGCTCAAGCTGACTAATACGCATGGGGTTTTCTTCCCCTAGGTGAGGTCAAGCCAGACAGCGCAGGGGGCAGAGCTAGCAGAGTAGGAGGGGGCAGATGCAAGCTATGAACAGAGGCAGGGAAAGCCTCTTCATATTTGGTTGGGAGCTAAAGATAATGTCCTTTTCACAGCCTCACAAGTTCTGGGGAATAATAATAGCAGGAAAATGTCCAAGACATCAGTAAGTAAAGGGAGAGCAAAACTTCTAAAAGATGATGAAATGAAAAAGGGGACCCATCAAGGGAAAAACAGTGGATATACAATGTCCCTGATCAAGATGTTTGTCTCACAGATGGTATGTGTGAAAGATCTGGCCCAGCAAGTGGCCTCTCTTCATTCCTCCAGCTTCATTTTAAAAAACACTTACTTCTTATTTTTATTCTTTAAAATTTTATTTATTTTTTTCAGCATCCATTGTTTTCCCCTCAGGATTTATGCAATCTTCTGGTTGGAGTTGCCTCCTCAGCATTTGTACATTTAAATAGGATGATTCTAAAGCAGAAAGAATTTGTCTACAATCTTAATGTAAATTGGTGATTAAGTAGTTAAAAAACAACAAATTAACACAAAAACACAAGAAACAAATTAACAAAAAACCTCCATGTCCTAGCAAGAAAGTTAAAAATGGATTTCTGCAAGATTGGAATAAAATGACCTTTAATTAGAGTACCTTGTTTAAAGACATGGAAACAAGTCTCCTGGCACAGTGCCCGCTCCTGGCACCTGCCTCTGTGCTGGGGCCTGCATTTTCCCTGGGCACGGAGGCTAGAGGGTCTGTCCAGCTACTACTTTACCTGTGGAACTGACTTTAAGGGGTGGCTTTTTTTCCTGAAGAGAGATTCGGGCCTCTGCTGTTTCTTTCCTGGTCAGTCGATAGCCTTGCAGGAGATCTAATAAAATGAGGTTGGCCCCTGGCACGATGATGGAAAAAAGCCCGCCTCCACTCAGGTCACACCCGCTCCCCGGAGCAAGGAGGGAAGCCCTGGCACATACTCACTTGTCCAGTCTTCTTCAAAGCAATGCAGGAAGTGGAATCCCACCATGATGAGCGCGTGCAAGGAAATGAGAGCTATGTACATCTGAAACAGGAAAGCAGTGCAGACACCATTGTGGTGAGGTCCTTCCAACTGTGCAGGCTCCCAGGACAGGGACGCTCAGAACCTCCCACTCAGGAACACTTAGGCTGAGGAGTGACCAGGAGAGGGCCAGAGAGGCATCTGGTGGTTTCCCCACTGGTTCCCCTGCCCCCAGCCCTGGGTCTGAGGTGAGCAGCCGTTCACTGTGAGCGTGTGGAGCAAGAACAGAAACAAGCGCCCGTCACCAGGCGTGACCTGGGCTGCAGGTGGGGTGGGCTGCCCTGGGGAGCTCCAAGCCTGCTGCTTCTCCTCACTCGAAAAGCCAGGGTGCTGACTGCCAACGGTCCCCCCAGCCCTCACACTAAACATACCCCACCTACCTGCAGCCGAGGGTGGGTTTGCAGCTATCCCGAAAACTACCTTCTTTAGCTACTTAGATTGGACACTCGGGATAGGAGCCCAGAACACAGGCCTTGCTTACAGCTAATCACCTTGAACCCACTTCTAAATGCTCCAGTGAAGGGCTCAGGAGCAGGCACTTGTTGACCAAGGTGAACTTTGGCAGAAAGGTGGACGTCTACATGGCCAGGCAGTATTCTGAACACTGAGTGTTAAGAATTTTCGAGGGAACAAAGCACTCCATCGCTTCATGGAGCGTGGGGCAGAATTCGGAAGCTGACTTACTGTAAACAGGACGAAGTACTTCTGGTTGTTCTCGCCAACACAGTTATTGACCCAGGGACAGTGGTGGTCCATCTTCCGAATGCACCGCTTACAAACACTGAAAAAGCCCACGAGGCAGACCTTCAGGGGTGCTGGTGGCAGGAGGGCCCGAGAGGAACACAGAACCCATGCTCCAGCTCCGCTCTTCAGAAATGGCCTCCTCGGGCACTGCCCAGGGTTTTGCTAGGTGTGTGTTGCAAGGGGCTTGGAAAGCAGGGTCAGCACCCCCAGGGTCACAGTCATTCCAAACAGGAGGACACTCATTCACCTCCATGGCCTCTTGTCTTGCTTAACATAAAAATAGATGGAACTGACATGGCTGAGAAAGAGGCTACTCTCCTGAGGTAACACTGAGCTGAGAATCTGGTTTACTGAGAGGACAGAATGAAGAAGCAGTTTGAAAAACGTGACAGGACGAGAGGAGATACAGAAAACAGCTGCTCCTAATTTCCCCAAAAGACCAAAAATCTGGCTCTGGGTGGAACTTCTGCCAAAGCACTGCCTTGTGTTACCAGGGAGGGTGTGGCTGACGGAAGAGAGCGCTAGAAGAGTCGAGAGCTGGCCAAGTGCAGGAGGTCTCAGGCTGGCAGGGAGCCCCCTGCAAGGACCTCCTAGCTCTAAGATAATATCCACTCAACCAAGGTCATTTGAGCTTAAGGTTGATCAGAAATCTCATTAATTTGCAAATTACTAACTTGTTATTGGGGTCATTTTTGGACTGAGATTGTTTCAGGCTTACTTGATAGCAAACACCCTCCCTACCCCTTTGCCAAGCAATAATCTGAATCAAGAGTCCAAGGCTAATGGGGGCTGGAAAGCAACTACGTTCCAAAGCTCAAGTTTAGAAAGACCCATTTGCCAATAGATGGGCTCATCAAAAATTGTTTCTTTTTCAATTCGTTAACATTTATTTTAGGGGCACTATTTGTTCACAATGGTTTGAAATACTATAAATATAAGCTTGGGAAAAATACAATTAGATTTCTCTTTTGAACGTTCCTTAGTTCACACCAGCTTTCTTTCCACTAGTTTCATACTAACTTTCCTCAGGTCTTGATCAAGTGCACATGGGCTACGGTGGTGGGCCCTGCAGGAATGGTTGGGGTCAGGGCCCTGCTGACAGGAGAAGGGCTACATCAGTTCACATCACGGTGCTTGCTGAGCTCTGGGTGACCGGCTGACGGGGAGGGAAAGCGAGGGGGGAGCTCTTCTGGGTGAGGAGGTGAGCTGCTCCCCAGACTCCAGGCCAGGAACACAGATCACTCTGAAGGAGGGCTCCATGGCAAGGCCACAGCGACTCTAGGCTGCAGGGCTCACCCACATCCCAGGAGGAAGCGTGGCCTTTCCTCAGCATGGCATGAGCTTTGGCGGTGGAAGGCAGACCTGGGGCTGCTGAGCTACCCCGCTCAGACTAGCTAAACTTCAAGTCGCAGGTTCCCATCCATAGGAAGTACTGTCATAAGGAAAAGGTGACAGCAGATACGGAGCCTGGCTCAGACCAGTGCTGGAGTCACACTTGTCTCCGCCCTTGCTCTTTTCCACAACTTTAAAGGGCCTTGCTAACACAGGCATGTTGGGAATGGGCACATCTCAGAGATGCTAGCCCAGCTCTAGAATCTCCCTGGGGGCCAGGAGGGCAGGGTAAGGAAGGGAGGCATGAAAGGGACATGGGGGGAAATAAAGAGAAACTCAGGTACCAGCAACTCCATTACCTTGTCTCTAGCTCTCTTTCTGTTTCTATGTGTGTTACCAATTTAAAACATACCTATGAATATGCATAATATATATTTTAATTGGTAACACTTGTTCCCAGTACACAATCATAAAAGTTCAGAGAAGACAGTGAAGAGTGAGCTGCTCCCTGCATCCCAGCCACCAGGCCCCACATTCCCTCCATGGAGCCACCTCCTACAGTCCATTTCTTGCATGTCCTTCTCAAGACAATCAGCGCTGGGGTTTCTTAATTCCCTCCCTGTCTGGGGACAAAATTCCAGAGGGTAACTACCTCCCTGATCCAGGCTCTTGAGTAGTTTCTCTTCCGTCTGCACTTATTTCTAAAAGGGGTTTCAAGTGGGTGCTCAGAGGCAGTGTTTGCTCGGCAACAGAGAGGTACCAAGCGGCCTGACATCCTCGGAAAGCTGTCCAAGAGTTTAAACAAGCTCTCACAGGAAATCCATCCTTTGCTCTCCTCCCAGCCTCTCGGAAGACACCAGGGCTGAACCCCGGGAAGCTGGATCTCACAATGGGCTAAGTCTCACTGGGCCACACAATTAGAAAACTACTCATCCTTCAAGGGGCAGGCAGAGTGAGGACAGCCCACTGGGAGCTGCAAAGAATGGTCCAGAGTGCTGGTCTCTGAGTTTCCTGTTTTCAAAGACAGGAAATGCCAAGATGGCACCTCTCCCTCTGGCTTATAGGGTTGTTCAACAGCAGGCTCCTGGGCCAGGTGGGCACGTGGATGGGGGAGGACCATCCATGCTTGGGGCTGGAGGCCTGCTCAGAGGCTGACTCATCCACAGCTACAATGAATGAATGGCTCTGGGGCTGAGGCCAGGAGAGTACCAGGGGAAGACCTAGAGGTGGGTCCTCGAGGGGGTCAGTGAAGGACACTCCAGGCCCAGGGTGGTAACTGCCCACACCCTGCCCAGCTGGTTCACCTCAGGTACCATCTGTCATGAAAAGGAAGAAAAAAGATGGGCCTCCTCCCACAACCCCCAACACCCGACTGAGAATCAGTCACTTCAGAGCCAGCCTTCTTCCCAGCCCCTACTGCATGGTGGGCAGGGGGCTCAGTGGTCCCCTCCCCAGACACAGCAGCCAAGGCAGGCTCCCAGAGCGCCCTTTTTCCACTCTTGCTCCCTGGCAAAATACACCTTCCTCTCCGAGGCACCTCCTTGCTCACTTTCCTCACCTGTCCATCAGCCTTCTCCTTGCACTCGTCTCTAGCACCAATTCCAGTGTCTCGTGTGTGAGACACTGCAGGCTGGTGAGCTCCTGGGGTATAGGCACCAAATGCCAGGCAACATGCTCTTTTTTTTTTTTAAAGATTTTATTTTTTTTCCTTTTTCTCCCCAAAGCCTCCCGATACATAGCTGTATATTCTTTGTTGTGGGTCCTTCTAGTTGTGGCATGTGGGAAGCTGCCTCAGCGTGGTTTGATGAGCAATGCCATGTCCGCGCCCAGGATTCGAACCAACGAAACACTGGGCTGCCTGCAGCAGAGCACGCGAACTTAACCACTTGGCCATGGGGCCAGCCCCAAGCAACATGTTCTAAGCATGCAATAACAGCCACTGAAAAGACCAAACATCTTAAATGGAAGTATTTTTTGGTTTCCCTGCCTTCAAGGTTTCCCAGGCCCCTTCTATGGTTTTTTGGGGGGTTTTTTTTGTTTGTTTTTTTTGAGAGGAAGATTGGCCCTGAGCTAACATCTGTTGCCAATCTTCCTCTTTTTGCTTGAGGAATATGGCTCCTGAGCTAACATCCGTGCCAATCTTCCTCTACTTTGTATATGGGACGCTGCCACAGCATGGCTTGATGAGCGGTGTGTAGGTCTGCACCCGGGAACCTGTGAACCCCAGGCTGCCAAAGTGGAGTGCATGAACTTAACCACTACACCACTGGGCCGGCTCCCCCTTCTATGTTTTAAGTCATTGTTTTACAAGAGGGTGGATGCTTCTCCTCCCCTCTTTCTCCAGGTTCCCTACCATCTTTCGGGCCCCAAAGCACTTCCTTCAAAAGCTTGATATAGCCCGACAAGCTCATCGGCTCATGTGCATTCAGGTTCTTTTGCACTTATGTGTTCCCTCTCCAGGGAGGTCCGAGGGCCTTTCCTTGGTACTCAGCCCCAGAGGAGCTGGCTGAGGTCCTCTTGCCCACCCTGGGCAATGGCTCTCCATGGAAACATAGCCATGTCCATGAGGGCCCTGTGCCTCTCCCTACAGCAAGACTTACCGAACGGTGTTATGGTGGATAAGTGCATCTGTCCTGCCTGGGCAGGAGGTCCCTGGATCGGGGCCATGTCTAACCCACCACTACAACCCAGAGCCAAGCCCAGAACCCCAGTTAGCGAGGGTCGGCTGAGTGAAGGCTCTGACGGGACAGATGGGGAAAGAGGCGGCCTAGGAAATGGGCTCCACCTCATCAGACTGGGATGCCCCAGGAGGGAAAGAGAAAAGAAAATAGCAAGAAGGTACCAAGTGCACCATGCTCTATGTATAGGTTTTCATCTCATCTCACTGGCTATGAATAAAATTATAAGCAAAAAAGGCACCTACCACATTTTAGCCCCAGCTCAGAAACGATCAGGGTACGGCAGCGCAGTGTGATGGAAAGAACTCTGCTCTCAGATCCCCGCTTTGGGCTCTGGGCAAAGAAACTTAGCTTCTCTAAACCACCCTCTGCAGAATTAGCCCTGATCTCTCTCAAGGTTAGAGATAAAGTAGATGAAATGCTTTCAAAACAACACTAGTGCTATATAAATTTTGTCAGTAATCCTAACCAAGAGAAAGACAAAAGAAGAACCTGGCAGGGGCCTAAGCAGTCCATGACTGTCTCAGTCTTAGCATGTGTGTGTTTGTGGGGGGTGGGGAGGACTGTGAGATTTTGCCAGGGTCAGAGGTCTCCATCTCCTTGCGCAAGAAGAACCTAACGCATAAGCCTAATACCTTGCCTGTCCACATTAGCATAAATGGTTCCCCCCACAGCATTTCCACATGGTTCTATGGTCCTCATGAAGAGGAGGTTCAACACCAGGGTGAAAGCAGCCTGGGGTTCCAGAGTGCCTCTCCTTGGAAGGGAGACCCAGCCACATACCACCATGCTGGGAGGAACACCCATAGGTCCAAGGTGTGGGAGTATCTGGGGTACCCAGCAGGGCTCAGGGAATGGAGATGCTTTTAAATTCCATGGGCTCTACTGGGAAGAGGGGAACACACACATGCGTCTACACGTGTACCTTTGCCTGAGCAGGCAAGACCAGCACTAACTTCCTCTAACGAGGTAGCAGGCCTCTCATCTCAATCAGTCACAAACCCAGCTCTGTCTGGTGTGCTGGGGGTTCTGCTTATGGAAAACTGTGAGTCTCCAGACGGCTTGGGCCACTGCGAGCTGTCACAAAGGAGCAGTTGTCAGCACACATTTCCTGAGGCAGGAACAGGCACCCTCACTCGAGTTCATCTGAATCAGCAGCTCTTGTTTTGCTCAAGCTGATTTGTTTACTAGCACTCAAGAATACCTCCCTCGGATCATCCTGGGGAGAGAGGCGAGGAGGAGGCGGTGAGGAAAATGCCATGCAGTGGAGGCAGCGGAGGACTCAGGCAGGAAAGAGAAAAGAACCACTGTGGTCACTCGAAAGTTCTTTGCTGAAGTTCACACCTCCCTGTTTCTGGTCCAGCCTGTTTAACCCAGCACACCCCCAGCACTCACACATTCCTCTGTTAACAAACGGCTTCCACTCATTGAACTAGGTGACTCCGTCATTCATATTTAGCCCTCACAACAGGTTAGGGAGGAGCAGCACTTTTTATGGAGGAGAAAGCTGAGGCTCACAAGGTCCCACAGTAGGATGGGGACAGTGCTGGACTTCCAACGCTGACTTCTCCAAATTCAAGGCTGGAGCTTGCTTCACCACACTGGGCTGCCCTGAGGAGCCACGTAAGCAAGCTGGGCCTTTTCACCAGGGTGATGCTTAGAAAACAGCTGGTCTCCTGAGCCTCAGGGTAGCAGGAAAAGACTAGACTGCTGCCTCCATCTCAGGCACAGGAAGCAAGCCTTGAAATTAGCTTCTAACACAGATCTCAGAAGCAAGCTGACCCAGAGACAGAAAACTCCACAGGAGACAGCTATTACCAAAGGCCCCTGCCCAAGCTCCTCAGCCCTCACCCTCAGTTGTGGAGGTCTTCAGATCTCTCTCTCTCAGACAGACAGGAAAACATACATACGATTACCTCAGTTTTTCACGAGCCATCTCCTAACTGGAGTTCTAGTGGAAAGCGCTGTGGACTTGGAGTCAGAACCAGTGGGATCCAATCCTGTCTCCGGGACTCACCAGCTCTGTGATCTCAGAGCAGTCACTTAACCCCTTCGAGCCTTAATCCCTCATGTAGGGAGTCATTCCTATAGCAATACCTATCTCTGGGGGTGGCCATGAGGGTGAAAATGAGATGACTGATGATGAGACAGGGTGGGCTGAGGTGCCTGGGACTGACTTAGGAGCTGACAATGGGATCTGCTCTCCTCTGAGAGGTAGACAGTGAGGCCCACACAGAAATGCCACCTTTCGGGGGCTTGGCTCTCTCACAAAACCCAAATGTTCCCACAGCCTGAGACTGACAAGGATGACCTCCTGACATCAGGAGCCAGTTCATTCCTCCACAATCTCTCCCCACCCCAAACACACACCAGTATGAAAAAGGGACCAAGTGACATGTTTGTATTCCTGTAACTGAGCATTTAAAAGTCTTTTGTAATAATAAAGCACAATTTTTAGCTAGATGTTTTCTTGTTGAGAAGACTCAAAACAAGAAAGAAATCTGAAAACCAAAAGGGAGAAATCATCACAGATAAGATGGGGAAATGGCTTTTTTTTTTTTTTTTTTTAAAGATTTTATTTTTTCCTTTTTCTCCCCAAAGCCCCCCCCCCCCCGGTACATAGTTGTATATTCTTCGTTGTGGGTCCTTCTAGTTGTGGTATGTGGGACGCCGCCTCAGCGTGGTTTGATGAGCAGTGTCATGTCCGCGCCCAGGATTCGAACCAACGAAACACTGGGCCGCCTGCAGCGGAGCGCGCGAACTTAACCACTCGGCCACGGGGCCAGCCCCGGGAAATGGCTTTTTTTGGCTGAATTTTATAAGTGTCACAACCTCTAGAGGTTTTGTTTTGAAGAAAAGCATTCATTCGAGAACAACTCCTTCATGTCCCCATAAAATTTAAGTGAATAGGGCCCACCTCTTAATTGGGTTAAGTACTAGACATTCATAGAATGATTTTCTAAAGCTTTGTCTCATGTGCCTTTAATAAAGTAACAAAGCTATGAGGTGGGAAGACCAGGAATCCTCTCAATTTTACAGTTATGGAAACAAAGGAAAGACAGTCAAGGTCCTATGTCAGGTGTAGCAGAGCCAAGTTTTGGGATGGGTGTCCTGAGCCCAAACCAAATGCCCTTTTCCAATCTAGTGAGCTCATGGGAATTGGGAGGGAGAGACAGCAGTCACTCAGTGCCTAGAAGAGGGGACGTTCAGAAGTCCTGTTGCTGATGGCACCCATGGGTAAAGTGGGTAAGTATGTAGGGGTGAGGAGGTGAGCCCAGGGGCATGTAAGTACCTGCAGTGGTGGGCTCAGTCGGGCACCTGCGGGTGAGTGGGTGTGTGTGTGTGTGTGAGGAGGCAAGCCTGGTGGGTGCACATACCTGCAGAGGTGGGGGGTGGGGGAGTGTGGGGGGTGAGGAGGCGAGCCCAGGGGTGCGTGTACCTGCAGTGGTGGGCACGGTCGGGCTTGATGCTGCAGCACTTGGGACACTTGTACACCACCTGTCCAGGCTTCAGCTGTAAACTCTCGATGAACTCTTTAGTGGCATTTCCTTTGGGCACTGCCCCCTGGAATAAAGAGGAAAGGCATCAGGGTTGGGCTGGGGGTTCCAACCATTCTGACATTCCATGGTGGAGACAGTCATTTGAAAGCAGCAATTACACACACAGGGACAGAACGTTTTCATCCTAACAACATGTGAACTCTGTTCAGAATTATGCCAACATCAAGGAACATTTACTGACAAAGAACTTTCCTAAGGAAGAGTGATTGATTTTCTACACTGATGATTTTCTATTTTCATTTTACTAAAATTGTTTTTATTGAATCCATTCTTTCCTATGTAAATATTACAGTGAGGATGTGACTCACCAACTGCTTTTTAAATTTCCCAGTAACAGCTTCGGCCTTTGCGAATTTTCATTGGTAAGCTTTACATCTAACAGTCCGGTTTTCCCAGATCAAAATTTGCAGCTCTGAATTTTACTGGGTTCTGTTTAAATTGGAACAACTTTTATTTTATTTTTTTACCAGGACCATGGTTATGAAAGATTGGTAATCCATATTTAGTTCTTATGAATCCACAAGCAACTGTGAGCCATTGCCCTTGGATATTCAATTTGCTCTCTGACCAGAAGTGCCATTCAATTTGCTATCCCATCCTTTTAGGATGCTTGTGAATACTTTGCATTCTTATTCTGTCCACACTCGTGGTGGAACCAACAGCAGAACCAAAATGCCACCAGAGTCTACTTGGGCTGTGCACCCGTCCAAACAGAAGGAAAACAGGCAGTGTCCAGGCCCAAGCAGGGTCTCAATAACCAATCCTCACCAGGTGCCTACTTGGTGCTCAGCCTGTGCTCCCGCGCTCATTGCTATGGATTCAGGAATTAAACAAGGGCTCTCTCCCAGGGACCTCCTGGTCTTTTGGAGGCTGACAACAATTCTAGTAGAGGGGTTACATGCTGTAGAAGACAGCTGTGATGAGAGAACACAGAGGAGCAGCAGCCAATTAACCAGGGGAACCAGACAAGTGTCAAGAAGTGAGGTTTAAGGGTTGTCCTGAGGAATGCACAGAGGTTTGCGACGTAGACCTGTGGGAGAAAAGGGATTCCGGCCAGAGGAGGGTCATAGCAAAGGCAAAGAGGTGAGAGTGAGCACAGCATAGGGAGACAGTGGGAAGATCAGTATGGTAGAGCCCAGGGCACGCAGTGTCAGCAGGGAGGCCGGACTGATGGGCTGGGTCAGCCTGGGTAGTGCTGAATGCCAGGTCTAAGGGCTGGGGTGGGATTTTTCTTTATAGGCAGCCCAGAGACACTAGGTAACATCAGTGCTTTAGCATGAGAACTCAGTTGCCTGTGCTGTGTGGATCAGATAAGAAGAGGGAGAGATTAAAATCCTAGAGACTAGTTAGAGGTTACTGTTGATGGTCCAGTAAGGAAAAACTGAACTATGAGGATGAAGGAGAAGTGGAGAAGAAATTCAGAGATCTAAACAAAAAATGTAAGGAACCAAGTTAATATTGCGGTCATGTATTCTTGGTCGTGCACTGGAGTCTACTGTGAAAATACAGATGCCTAGACTCTAGTGCAACACCACTATATAAAAACTGTCAGGGGGTGAGGCCCAGACACCCGTATTTTTAAAAAGCAGGGCTGAGAACTACTGTGCCAGACCAGGAGCTCCATGATTAGGGTCTACCTTGTTCAGCACCAGAGCCCCTAGCCTGGAAAAGATTTATCAGTTACCAGCAAAAGATGAAAGGAGTAGTGCAAGTGAACAGAACAAAAAAGAAGGGAGCCAAGGATGCCACCCTGGGGGACTCCACCAGCTTGTTCCAGCTCCCAAACAAGAACTGGGCCTAGGAATAAATTAAACCCAGGAGATGAAAGACCTATACACTGAAAACTATAAGACATTATTTAAAGAAATGGAAGAAGACATAAAGAAATGGAAAGATCCATGCTCATGGATTGGAACAATAAACATAGTTAAAACGTCCTTATGACCCAAAGCAGTCTACAGATTCAATGCAATCCCAGTCAGAATCCCAATGACATTCTTCATGGAAATAGAACAAAGAATCCTAAAATTTATATGGAACAACAAAAGACCCCAAATAGCCAAAACAATTCTGAGAAAAAAGAACAAAGTTAAAGGTATCACACTCCCTGAATTCAAATTCTACTACAAAGCTATAGTAACCAAAACAGCGTGGTACTGGCACAAAAACAGACACGCATAGATCCATGAAACAGAATTGAGAGCCCAGAAATAAAACCACACATCTATGAACAACTAATCTTTTACAAAGGGGCCAAGATACAGAATGAAGAAAGGAAAGTCTCTTCAATAAATGGTGTTGGGAAAACTAGACAGCTACACGCAAAAGAATGAAAGTAGACCATTATCTTAACCTTACACAAAAATTAACTCAAAATGGATTAAAGACTTGAATGTAAGACCTGAAACTATAAAACCCTTAGTAGCGAATATCGGTAGTATACTCTTTGACACTGGTCTTAGCTGTATCCTGTCTACTCAGGAAAGGGAAACAAAAGAAAAAATAAACAAATGGGACTACATCAGACTAAAAAGCAAAGGAAACCATCAACAAAATGAAAAGATAACCCACCGACTGGGAGGGAATATTTGCAAATCATATATCTGACAAGGGGTTAATCTCCACAATATATAAAGAACTCGTACAACTCAACAACAACAAAATGAACAAGCTGATCAAAAAATGGACAAAGGATATAAACAGACATTTTCCCAAAGATATACAGATGGCCAACAGGCACATGAAAAGATGTTCAACATCACTAATTATTAGGGAAATGCAAATAAAAACTACACTAAGATATCACCTTTACCCATTAAAATAGTTATAATTGACCAGACAAGAAATAACAAGTGTTGGAGAGGATGTGGAGAAAAGGGAATTCTCATACGCTGCTGGTGGGAATGCAAACTGGTGCAGCCACTATGGAAAAGAGTATGGAGATTTCTCAAAAAATTAAAAATAGAAATACCATGTGATCCAGCTATGGTATTTGGGTATTTATGCAAAGAACATGAGATCAACAATTCAAGGAGACTTATGCATGCCTATGTTCATTGCAGCATTATTCACAATAGCCAAGATGCGGAAGCAACTCAAGTGCTCATCAATGGATGACTGGATAAAGAAGACGTGGTACACATACATATATACATACAATGGAATACTACTCAGCCTTAAAAAAAGACAAAGTTGTGCTATTTGAGAGAACTTGCACGGACCTTGAAGGTATTATGCTAAGCAAAATAAGTCAGACAGAAAGACAAATACCATATGATTTCACTCATATGTGGAAGATAAACAAATACTTAAATAAGGAGAAGAGACTGGTGGTTACCAGTGGAGAAGGGGGTGGGAGGAGGGCAAAAGGGATAAAGGGGCACATATGTATGGTGATGGATAAAAGCTAGACTATTAGTAGTGAACACAATGCAGTCTGTACGGAAACTGAAATATAATAATGTATACCTGAAATTTATACAGTTATAAGCCAACATGACCTCAATTAAAAAAAAAAGAACTGGGCCCGACACTGAATCAAGTCACAGTTATGGTAGGGACTCAGGGCCCACCTCTCCTCCCAAGACCCCTATGTTAGGTCTAGGCGACACCAGGCTCCACTCCTTAGTGGGCATCCATTAGATACCACAATCAGAGAAGGTAACACAACATCACAACAACAGAACCCGGGACTGTGCCCAAGTTCCGAAGGGGCCCAGAGCAAGTGACAGTGTGGCTTACTAGGGTGGGCAGGTGGGGATTTCAGAGCTGCCAGAGCACCCCTGGTCTCCCCAGAGTGGGGCTGAGGGACTATAACAGGCCAAGTGAGGGGTTCCCAGGGCAGAAAGGATGAGGACTGAGTGTCAGAACCTTTCCTATGAAAGTCTGGTATGGGAAGAGCCACTGAAGAAACAGAAAAAGCTTTAAACGCTGAGAATGCAAAGGAGCTGTGGTTTGGTCTTTTGGTAAGAAAACGACTCACAGAGGATAAAGATTCCAGCTACGGAAACCATAAAGACAAATCAACTAACAACTCTTTCCTGAAAGTCTACCCTGTACCGAGCACTGTGGGGAGTACAAAGAAGGGATGGGAGCCTGGTGGGGCAGACAGGCACACAGACACAGGAAGGAGGCTGAGGACCCAGTAAAAGGCATGGCCACTGGGGCATTAGGAGCTGGGGGAGGCAGCAGGGCTGCGGGTGGGGACCTCAGGAAGGCCAGGAGGCACTTGGGCCCGAAGGGTGAGGATCCTAGTGGATGCAGGCAGAAGGTGGGCACCTGGGGGGAACAGTCCCAGCACCAGCCAGATGGGGGTCTGTACCCAGCCTGTCCAGGAGGTAATGGCTGGAGAACGGCAGCATGTGCAAGGGGGTCTTCCCAGCAGTGAAGAAAAAATCCAGTATTACTGTTCCATCATGGAAAGATTTTCAACTTGTCTCCAAGAGGCCCTGGGGTGCCTCTCTGGCGTCTCCAGGCTGGCATACACTGATAGGCCCTCGTCTCCTGGCCTCTCCTCCTGCCCCAACTCCATCCCTCATGTGGTTCTTTGCTGGGCCTCCAACTTCTCCTCTGCTGACTCCTCTGTTATCACCAGCTCTTTAGTCCTCCCTCTCCTGCCTCGGTGAGGACCTACTCACTCCCGAGATGGGCAGCACTTCACTAACTTATCACTAGGAGCAATGACGCACTTCCGTACTGGTCTGTCTGAGGGTGACCGGCTGACGGCTCCAGAGGGGCAGGAGACAAGGACGAGCGAGAAAATCCAAAGGATCACTCATCCACACAAATGCTCATCTCACTGGTGGAGGCTCAGGATTTCAAGTAGGGTGGTGATGACGTCCCAAGAAGAGACCTCTAAAAACCTGGATCCTGGTACACGGGCACTGTGGGCACCAAGATGCTGTAAACCCCAAGGGACTCAGCATAATGATCACCTCTGTGGTGGTAGGAGGCTGGGTGGCGTGGAATGAAGTGGCAGGTGGAGGGTGTGTATATAAATAGGCT